GAAATAAACGTCCAGGAGATGATTCAAAACGTGGACCTTGATTCTGGGAACCATTCGCAGGGCAGTGGCTGGAAGCCCCGAGAGGATGCCACCAAATCTTCAATGTGACTGAGTGGTCTGCCTCTGAGGTCCTCCGCACCAGAGGGGACCCTGAGGGCGGGGAGCAAGGCAACAAGAAGACGGAAGGTGAAAGTAAGCACTGGAGCCGACAGACCAGGGAGCCTGTGGCTGCCCTTAGAGGTGTCAGACGGAGATCCCGATTTCAAAGCTGCTGCCGGTGGAAGGTGGCGGCTTCATCCCAAAGCTGCTGCCGGTGGAAGGTGGCGGCTTCATCCCGGGTCTCGGCCTCAGTGCTAGGCCCTGGCTCTGGCAGGAAGCCAATCCACTTCCTCTCTAGGTTGTCCTGGCTACTGCTGTGGCCTTTCTTTCTCTGTTTTTCCCCCTCTTCTCCCCCTCCGGAGGCCCCTGCAACCCGAGGAGTCATCCCAAGCCATCTTGCCGCTGCCCCCTAAGTTTAAAAACCGGTTATATTTTAAATGTGTCAAGTCAGAAATGTTGGCTTTGAAACACAATTGCAGTGCTACGTATCATTTAGTCCTATCGTTAGGGGCTGAGACCTAGGGGCTGACATGGATGTTTGTGAAACATCAAGTCAATCAGTGGCTCCGGGTCCACTGGGAGGCCCGAGGAGTTGGGCAAGGGGCGGCAGTGGAGGCCGAGAAGAGAGAGAACGCAGTGGAGGCTGCGGTGGTGGTACTGGCAAATAGCCACAAATTTCCAAAGTGATTGGAATTCTCGAGGTCAGCTAGGCTGAGTCCCCGGGGCAATAGGGCAGTATCTATTTTATAACCTCTCCGAGATGGGGAATTTCCAAGGGTCTAGTGCCGATGGGCAATCTTGGCTCTACCTCACAACTCATTCAGTCAACCACCACTAACTGAGCGACGAGCTCGGGCCCAGGGCCAGGCTAGGGGACACCATCGTAGTAAGGAACATTATGTCTAAGCCTCTGTCAGAAGATAAACATTGAGAGGGGGGAAGAGGGAGGAGGGATAATAAGAATTGGGCCTTGAGTCATGCAAACCCAGACGGGAATTCAAACTTGGGACTCTTGAGCAAAAGTCTCCTCCTCCTAAATGCATACATTTCCTTTTCCTCCCAGCCCTCTGCCAGGTGCAATTCTTTAGGTACCACCCTCCCTGGACTCAGGGTTCAGCCCCCTTCTCCCAGGTCTTGCTGATTTTTTTTCCTCCTGAGTCTAATTCTAAAATCATCTTTTTCTTTTTTCTTTTTTCTAAAAATATATTTTATTGATTTTTTTACAGAGAGGAAAAGAGACGAATAGAGAGCTAGAAACATCGATGCGAGACAAACATCGACCAGCTGCCTCTTGCACACCTTCCACTGGGGATGTGGCCGCAACTAAGGTACATGCCCTTGACGGGAATCGAACCTGGGACCTTTTAGTCCACAGGTCTATGCCCTATCCACTGAGCCACACTGGTTTCGGCAAATCATCTTTTCCTTGAAAATGTCACACTAATCACAAAGAGGAAGTTGCACTTGTGCCCCCTCTGGATCCTCTTCCTTCTCCAAGTCTTCACAGGACAGGGCTGTGCCTGTCCCGTTTCCCAGAGACTCTTCTACCCCAGTTGTTTTCAAGCTTTGTTCATCCTTAGCCGCGTCTAGTTTTGTCTTGGAGACCATTTCTGTTCCTCCAGGCACCAGGCCAAGTGAGCCATTCAAGGCTGATAAAGTCTCAGTGACCTAGGCACAGGAAGTGGTGGGAGGTGAAGGACATTTCTGGATGGCACTAAAATAAATCCTTTTCCTCGTGTCCCTGACCCAGGACAACCTGCTGATACCAAATACATCAGTGGCTCTGGGCTCGCTAGACTAGAGGAAAGAGAATCAGGCGACACTGTCTCTGACCAGTGGTAGAACATCAATCGCCTTCTGGGCCTCAGTTTCCTGCTTTGTAAAAGGATCTTGGAGGCACCCTTCCGCTCTGACCCTCTGACCGGCTGGGAAACGGCACCTGGCTCGGCTGGTCTCCGGGCAGCCTTGAAAAGCTGAGGCACCTCATGTCACTGGCCGTCTGGACAGCCTGCTTTCCAGGATCCAGTTCTGTTTCCAATAGTAGTTCTCAGACCTGTTTGGACTTGAATCTGCTTCGGGTTTCCAGGAGACATGAGGCCTAATGTGTGTAATCCTTTAAGACCTAGACCCTCCTTCTCCCAGAGCAGAGCTGGGAAGGACTGGCCGTTTGAGGAAATGCATTCTGGGGGTTCCAGGATATATGGAGGGGACATGGGCTTGGGACTCTAAATAGGAAACTTCTGGGAAATACTGGGTGAGGGCTGGGGTGAGTGGGGAGGCCAGAGGAGCTAGGTTACTCAAGGCAGAGCCTGAGCTTAGGAGTTACCAGACCAGAGCACGGAGGACAAGCTGGTGACGGTCCCAGGCCCGGGAAGGCCAGTCTGGGGCAATGCACACCAGCTCACTGTACACACAGGCGGCAAGCCGGTCCCCTCACCCAGCAGTTCCAGCCCCATAGGAACTCCTGTAGTTTTCTTTGGCTCAGAAGCAGCAGCGTCCCCTGAGCCCGGGCCCCCCTCTACCACAAAGCAACTGGCTTCCATTACCCCTGTCAGCTCCAGCCCAGCCCCCCGCCCAGCCTGGCTCAGTGCCGTTCCCTTTTATGGTGAAGCTGAGGGAAGGGAAAGCAAGGGGTGAGGGTGGAGTAGTTTCTGGCTGGGCAGAGGGTTATAGAGCCTCGGAGTGCTTCTCCCCTCACCAGACCCCGGATATCTACTCCCAGTCATCTTTATTCTTTCTCCTCCGTGACCCTGCTCTGCTCTGCTCGGAACCCACGGCCCCCCTTGCTGATCCCAGCCATTCCTCCCCCCTTCCCTTCCCTCACATCCGGGGGGTGATTTCCCACTTGGCCCAAGTCCCACGCTTTGGGTTTAGGTTTAGGGAGGGTCCGCCCTATTTCCGACGCCTACCTCGGGGTGGATGGGGGTGGGAGGGAGCCAGGGTAAGGGAGGCACCGGTCAGATCGCAGGCAGGGTATGGGGAGGAAAGGCTGGCTCCGAGGAGAGGAGCACCCAGTTGCCCCGGCCGTTGTTCCATTCGGCACCGCCTCTCATCCCTCACCCCACCACCCGGGCCAGGGAGGGGACCCAGAGGGCAGGGCCCAAAGGAAGCACCTGGCTGGGTTGGGCCGGGCCGGGCCGGCCGGGAGCGGGTGAGCAGCATCGAGGGGGGTCGGGACAGGAAGGGGTGTCAGAGTCTAAGGTCAGGCCAAGCCTCCCGCCCAGTCCCGCTGCCGCACTCTCGCCCTAGCACCCCGCGGCTCCGGGGAGGCGGTCACAGCGCCGTTAAACACGTCCCCCGCCGCGCCAGCTGCGCCCAGCTGCGTCCCGCTGGCCTGACGCGCGCCACCCCGCGGCAGCCCCACCCAGGCCACGCCCCTCGCGCGCCACCCCGCAGCAGCCCCACCCCAGGCCACGCCCCTCGCGCGCCACCCCGCAGCAGCCCCTCTCCAGGCCACGCCCCTTGTGAGCTCCCTGAGGGAGAGCAGGCGAGACGGCAGGGCTAGAGAGACCGACCTGACCGGAAGTGCCTGTCCTGGAACTGAGCTGGCGTAACAAACTTCCGGCTCAGATCTCCTACCTGGAGCTAGTTCCATACCGCGAGGGAACCGACCGCAGCTGGTCAGGTGAGAGGCGGGCGGGTGACCAGGGGGCCGAGGACGGGGCCCAGGTCTGGGCAGGGAGTGTGCCGGCCCCGAGGCTCAGCCCGTCTCTTCTCCGCAGGATGATTACCGACGTGCAGCTCGCCATCTTCGCCAACATGCTGGGCGTGTCGCTCTTCCTGCTTGTCGTTCTCTATCACTACGTGGCCGTCAACAATCCCAAGAAGCAGGAATGAAAGTGGCGCTTTCTCCGCCCCAGGTAACGGTCTGGGGGTGTAGCGCCCAGCCCCCGGGTTGGCGAGGCCTTGCCAGGGCCTGCAAGGTTCGAAACTTCAAATCAGTGGGGGCCAAGCATGCTACAGTCCGCACAGAGAAGAGAGTGCCTTGCAGTGCCTTTTCCCTCCCGCCCCTTTAAACTGTTCCCTGGGGTGGGTTTCCTAGTCCCCAGATGCCCAAATTGGGGGTATGGGTACAAGGTGGCACTGACACAGGTAGGAATTAGGGTACTGAGGATGCATCCAGGAATGAGGATTTGAGCTCTTCTTCACTTAAACAGTCCTCACTTTCCCAAGATTATTTAGATTTATTTAGGCAGATTTTTTTTTGTGTGTGAGTGAGGGATTGTAAAGATATAGAATTTTATTTCCATGTTCTGGGGCAAGAGACACTGATTAGGGGTTATTGGCTATAGACCCGTCATAGAGAAGAAAGGGGGAAGGGGCTGAAGGGCTTGGAAACCAACCTTTACTGTGGGTCACAATGTAAAGGGGAGAGAGGGTGGATGGGAGTTGATTCCGGAGGACTTCTCCAGAGTAAAACTGCATTTTCCTTACCTCAGGTCTTTCCCCTCTTTTCTAGGGTTCCAGGACATAGTCTGAGGCAAGATGGAGGGTGTGAAGGGCCTTCACACTTCATCCCTTCTACCAATCACAGCATATAAAGCAACTACACCTGGATTTTTCCAAACAACTTTTATTTCCTCAAAGTCTTCTTTAACCCTATGGAACAAGAAGCTGCCACTGAACAGGGCCCAGTGTAGGGGCTGCTTTCTTTTCTACTCTCTCCCCCCCGATATAAAAATATAGATTTTTGTGGTCCCAAAATCTTGTGCTGTGGAGGGAGGGAGGGGTGACACATTCCCTGCTTTGTCCTGTCTCAAGGTGGCGCTGTGATGCCTCAGCACGGTGTGACTGGCATTCCAAGGAGTTGGCATGGAATCAGCAGCTTAGGAAGGGGACTAGCACATTACTCACAGTGTTCCCCATCTTGTGGCTATATCCTGGGTATGAAGGTCAAGGCATCAGACCCGGGGAGAAACAGTGAATGGGGGAGATTTTGGGACAAAACAAACCTCAGGTTGGCCCGCAGGCCCCCGGCTGTAACAAGTCCGAGACTGGGAGTCAGATAGACTACAGGAAATAGGAGAAATGGCAGGGGCAGAGTAGGGCCGTGGAGGCGTGGCCTGAGGCAGCCTGCAACAGAAAAGAGAAGAATCAGGGTTGTGAAAAGTGTGCCCCCCTCTGGTCTGTTAGCCAGGAGTGAGAGGTGAGAGCGGTGGGATGAGCAAGGATAGGCACAGTATTGAGTATTGCACAGTGGTCTGGTGCTGGAACCTGCCAGCTCCTAGACCTTGGACCCTTGGAGGGAAAAACAGGTACTAGATTCCTAATGGAAGTACATTTAGTCTTTTGGGGTATCAAGGATTCGGGAAGGAAGAAAATGATCCTGAATGGCAGAATTAGGAATGAGGGGGTAGAAACAAGAAGTGGGGTGAGGGGCAATCTGCTCACCCTGGTGCAGAGTGGGGTCCCAGCTTCGGCTCACTGCTCTCCCTGGTCCAGAGGATAGGGGATGTGGGGCCCGAAGAGCCTCTCATCCCTCTGCAAGTCGGCGGTGAGCCCCAGCCCAACCTGGGCCTAGCCTGTGGACAGGGGGGGGGTGGGCTAAGAAGCTGGGTTCTTCCATGAATATTTGTGCTTCCAGAGTTCCCATGAGTAATGCTGTAGTTTAGCAGTCAATATAGGTACTAGGACCTTTATTTCCTAGGCACTGTCCTAGCTGAGAGGGTAATAGAGAACTTGGGTTCAGTCTATACCTATATATTCTGAGTCATATTTAACTAGAAGAGGCAAAAGGATCCACCATTTAACCTCCATGGCTATATCATGGCCAAGATTTGTACCAAAGACAAGTACTGTGTAGAAAGCTGTTTGAGGATTGGAGATCTTTCTCAGAAACTTCTGTGCCTCAGCCCCTGCCAGACCAGCTTACGTTTCTCCCATCCATTCACCTTCTGCCTGTACCCAACTTTAGCCAACCTAGCATGGGGATCTGGACTGAATTGGAGTTGGCACAGCTGTTCCTAGGAGCAGCAATGAGATGTGTTACCTGGGGAATCCGGGACCCCTCCTGGCGGGAACTCTCCTCGGGCAGGTCTGGGCAGAAAGAGAGGAGAAACTAAGGGCGGGGGCAGACAAAGCCAAAGCTAGCAGGCTGAGGTTGGGGTTTATCTGGCAGGGACATGGGGTTGAAAGCAAGCAGGAAACCTGGCTTGGAGGGGATGGGACACTGGGCAGACAGGCACTCAGACACCAGAACAGCTCTCTTAAATAGCTGGGGAAGAGGTAAAGCAGTGCTGGGCATTTCCCCTCCTACGACCAGCAAGCAGGTGAACAGCTGCTTGTTGGGTTCTGCCATAGTTGTTATTGCTGGGGACTGGGAAGACCCAAAAATGTTACCTGTAATCGGGTCCTGATACAGGGGATCCGAGGCCCAGTTCCTAATAGACCTTTCCCAATCACCATGACAGCCTCTGGCTTGTCCCCTGAGGACAGGAGTGAGCAGTTGCTCCCTGAGAACAAAAGAAACATATCAGGGTAGGGGCCATGGAGAAGAGGGAACTTCTGTTAGATCAGGGTTTCTCAGTATTGACATTTTGGGCTGGATAACTCTTTGTGCCATTGTAGGATATTTAGCAGCATTCCTGGTCTCTACCCATTAGATGATGTTCCTCTTCCTGCCCTCCCCTTTTGTAACAACCCAAAAGGTCTGCAGACATTGCCTCATGTGCAGAGGCGGTGAGGCGCCTCTTGGTTAAGAAGCTTGGCATACTCTAGTCTTGTTCAAGGGGTGGAGCTGCAAATCAGAGCTTGAGTTAGTCTGAATTTATAGACCTTAAGCCTGTTCCAATCAAATGTGTGAGCATTTAAGGATCAAGTCAGTAGTACCCAAGACGAGTGGGTTGAGGACTACCCCGTAGAGAGAGTTAATGGATGAGAAGAAGCAGGCTCTGAGGGAGGTACAAGATGCTGGACTGGAGTCTTAGAAATCATTCCTACCCAGTCCATACAGCCGGGTTATAACAGAGAGCTGATGGCTAAGGTTCTGTGTGCTTGATAAGGCCACACATTTGCGGTGATGGCAGGCCTATCCTTTTTTTCATTCTGCAGTTTTGTCTAATGTTGCCCAGCTCCTGGAGTCAGGGAGCTTCAATAAGTAGCAGGAAGGAAAAATCATAATGCTCCTCAACCATAAAAGTGAGGATTAAATGAGATAATGAGTTTACATCAGTGCCTGCCACATAATAAATGCTCAATAAATGGTAACTGCTATTTTATTATACAAAGATATTTAATAAATTCCAGCTTCTTGTACAAGGGCATGGGTGTTTGGGGTTTAGGATAATCTGGGCGATAACTGATGTCCCTGGTCTAGAGAGGCCTATATCACATCAAGCCCTAGCTGGTTTGGCTCAGTGGATAAAACATTGACCTGCAGGAACAAAAGGTCCCAGGTTCGATTCTGATCAAGGGCTTGTACCTTGGTTGCAGGCTCCTCTCCAATCAGGGCTCATGCAGGAGGCAACCAATCACATTGCTGTTTGTGTCTTTCCCTCTCTTTTCCACTCTCCCTAAAAATCAATGGAAAAATATTCTCGAATGAGAATTAACAAAAAGAAGAAGAAGAAAGAAAAAAAAAAGGAGGTCCAGGTCCAGTGGCAACGGAGCTGCAGGGATTTCCTCAGGAGCCTGTCTACATTGCATGGGGAGGCAGGAGGCTGGCAGTGCAGGACCAACCTGATATGCCGAGTGAGCTGGGCAGCAGGCAGGAGCCCAGGTTGCGTGAGGAGGCTTGGCTAGAAATGGCAGGCGTTGGGGGTGAGGCCAGGCTGCTTGAAGGAAGGCGATAGCTGAGTGGCTGCTGCCGCCGTCTCCTGTCCTGGCTTCGGGGCTCTGAGTGGAAGGGACACAAGCAGAGAGGGCAAGTGAGTGAGGCACTCATCTACCACCCCGTCTCTCCTTGGTCAGAAGATGCCCGTTTTCAGACTTGCCACACCAGTGTCCCTTGTCTGAAGAAATGCAAGATGAGTAGAAAGTCCTCTAATACTTATTCCAGTATCCAATTCCCAGCTAGCCCTCATGCTCACTTCTCTGGCTAACCAGCTTACCCACAGCTCATTCTTTTGGCAAAGGAATTATTGAGCTTGGCTTCTAAACAGCTTTCCTAGGTTCTCCTCTTACCTCTAACTGCTCTTCAACTAATCTTCCTGCCCCTTAAACTGTGGTGTTCCCCACCATTCTATCCTCAGTCCTCTCTTACTCAGCATATTTTAAACTCTCAGATCTCCCTCTATCCCTTTTTTCCTGAGCTGAAGTTTTAACTGTCCACTGGACACTTTTCTGCCTGGCAAACTCCCAAACAAAATCCATTTTCTCCCACCATTTCTTTTATTCTCCCTATCCTCAGGAAGATCTTGCTAGAAACCTTGTTTCATCTTTCAACTCTTCCCGCACATTTATATTTGTGTTTAACCAAATCTGGACAATTCTACCTCTATCTTCATTTGAATTTCTTTATTCTCTCTTGCAATTGACAGTGTCCAGATACAGGTCTTTAGAGCTCATTCAGGCTTTTGAAAAATATTCTCCACTGGCCCCCTTCCTTCCTTTTTACAATCCATTCTTTATTCAGATGCCAGGAATTGTTATTCTAAAACATAGGCCTGATCAAAAAATCATTTAGGCTCAGAGAAGGGGAGATACTTTTAAAAGACACAGTCTAAACCTTGTACGCAGCATTTAAAGCTCTGCCCACTGATTTGGGTCTACTTATCCTCAGAAGGATGCCAACTGACTTGATCCTTCACATTCTCTGCTACCAATCACCCCTGGGGCTCCGAGCTGTGCGGTTCCTCTAAAATGTCTGTCGCCTAGGGAAACCTTGGATATCTTATGAGTCCCATCTCAAATGTCACCTTTGTGAAACCTCCTTGACCATTACTGGTAGAATTAATTGTTCTCTTCATTGTCCTTTATTCATGTGGCTAGTAATTATTTATGGTTTCTCCCTCATTAAATAATTTAGTACATGTAAAGGACTTAAAATAGTACTTGGCACATACAAAGAACTCAATAAATGTTTGCCAATATTCTAATTAGAACTTGAGTCCCTTGAGGGTAGGGACTTACTCTAATACTGTGTATGCTGGGTACCAAGTAGAGGCTAAGACTGCAGCCAAGAATCAGAAACAACCAGAACTTAGGGGGCCAGGAAGAGTTGGTACAGCAATGCCAACAAGACAAAAGTCAGAGACTCAATGCCAGTTAGGTTACCTGCAACATTACCCACCACAGAGATGCAATAGAGCCCAGACCTGGGTAATCCTTTGGTTAAAACAGGGATGGATGTCGCTATGATTTCCAAGTGACAGTGCACAGTAGGCAGAAATAACGAACGTGGTAAGGGGGAAAGAGCCGGGTTCTAGATGGTCTGAGGGACCTCCATACATAGACGCATGGTGAAGCCCTACCCATCCCAACAAAGGTTGAGAGAAAACAAGCAAGCGTGGGCAACAGCCTTTGGCACGTTTGTAGGTTCTAGTGAGGAACTGCATGATAGTCAAGGAGGTAGGAAGCACATAGGCAAATGATGTAAAAAAAAATGTCAGTGTGACATGTAGGGACCATGGGAAAGATACCAAGGATACACAGGAATCCTGCCCTAAGGAGAGTTTCAGGTTAGAAGACAAGGTCTGGTTTAGGGGAGAAGGCTGATCTGGAAAGTTACGGCATTTAGACAGCATTTCAACTCTTAGGATCCAGCCAGCCCTACTGTGAAACTGGCAATGTGAGAACACAGCACTTTCTCATGTTTGGCTTTTGTCCCCACGGAGACAAGAATTACAGAGAAGAGCCCCAATTCTATTATTTCTTGGTTCTGAGGTATAGAAATGGCAGCTTAAGGCTGAGTGCAGGAGTGATCTGCAATCAGCTCTGCCTTTAGAGGTGTGGGATGATGTTTTATGGTCATCTGCTACAGGTTCCGTTTTGGCAGTGGCAGGACAGTCCTGGAGCAAAGGTCTGAGAGGAAGAGCCAGACTGACCTCACTTTGTATGAATTAGGATGGATATTCTTTTTTTATCTATATATTTTATTGATTTTTAACAGAGAGAAAGGACGAGAGCTAGAGAGCTAGAAACGTCGATGAGAGAGAAACATCGACCAGCTGCCTCTTGCACACCCCCTACCGGGGATGTGCCTGCAACCAAGGTTCATGCCCTTGACCGGAATCAAACCTGGGACCTTTCAGTCCGTAGACCGACGCTCTACCACTGAGCCAAACCGGCTTCAGCTAGGATGGATATTCTAAAGCTCCCAAGTTCTTGCCTTTTATGTGTTCAACAAATATGTGTTGATTGTTTAATAAGGGCCAGGTAGGTGCTGTGTGATAAGAGATAAATAGATATGGGGCATTTCCTGCCATCAAGTTTTAACAGGAAACCTTTGCAGTAGAAAAAGTAAAGGTAGTGCTAGAGGCATTCTTCCTGTGTCCTTTGACTCACTTCACAAAGGAACCTCCACTCTATTAAGACTTTAGCTTCTCTACCAAAAGCTGCCTGTCAGCTGAGCCATGGCATCAGAGGCCAGCAAAGGGTTCTACCCTGTTTCCCCGAAAATAAGACAGTGTCTTATATTATTTTTTTCTCCCAAAGTTGCGCTAGGTCTTATTTTCAGGGTATGTCTTATCTTTCCATGCACTAGGTCTTATTTTTGGAGGATATCTTATTTTCGGGGAAACACGATAGTAACCTCAGGTTAAGTGTCAGAGCTGGGAGGAACGAGAGCGGTGATGGACGACGAGCTGAAGACATAAAAAAATGCAAGCTCTGCCGGGACTGGTTTGGCTCAATGGATAGAGCGTCGGCTTGGGGACTGAAGGGCCCTGGGTTCGATTCTGGTCAAGGGCATGTACTTGGTTGCGGGCATATCCCCAGTAGGGGATGTGCAAGAGGAGCTGATAGATGACTCTCTCATTGATGTTTCTAACTATCTCTCTCCCTTCCTCTCTGTACAAAAATCAATAAAATATGTTTTTTAAAAAATGCAAGTCCCTTGTCCTTGACCCCAGTGTCCCGCTGGATAGGCTGGAGGGCAGGGCGTATGTTTCAGGTATTGAGACTATTGCTTGACTCCAGGGCCAGGACCAATATGAAGTGAATGAGGCACAATGCAAGGAGAGCCTGGCCTGACCCTGAGAACACATGCCTTCTGTTGTGTGGCCTGGGCACCTCCCTGGCTTCCCTGTCCTTGCCGGTTTTGTCAGTATGTAACCAACAGAAGCTGGTTCGCCTCTCCACCCTCTCCCTGGCCTTCCTTTGGCCTCTGATGCATCCGCTTTTACACCAGTATCCCATAGACTTTCCTCACTCTACCATTGCATTAGATATCCCCATGACCTCCTGCCTCCTCTGCAGCAGCTGCTGCTAATGCTGTCTGAGCTTCTGAGCCTGGTCTGGGAAGGCGGTGCTCGTGGCCTCTTTGGCAGCCAGGGTACAAGGAGGTGCCGAAGATCCTGGCACTATGGGCAAGGGTGTTGGAAGTGAAGGTTTACCCAGAGGCTCTTCTGGCCTCCTGCCCCGGAACACTCTTGTCAACCCAAGCTGGTTACTTGTTAGCCTTCTAAAATGTCATCCCTGAAGACAGAACCTGCCAGACTGATTGGGCTGCCTGGATCTTTTCTGAAATTTCCTGGATAGCCCAATCTCATGTTTTATTCTAGCCAATAAGGGATAGTCACCAATTAAATGTATAGTTAAGTGTGATATGATTTCTATACATTAGAGGACATTTTCTTATAAATAACTACATAAGTGAAAAAAATCTGTCAAATCACAATACCATTTTTTGGGGGTTCGGAAAGTATAACTGCTTTCTAGTTAGATCTCAGAAATACAGGGTCGTGTTCTTCCTGTTTCAGAAGACCAAGTCTGTCTGTATCACAGGTCCCTGTCCCAAGACAGGGCCAGTCTACATCCTCGGGTCACATCAGGGACTTTAAGAGATGGAGCACCAGTAAATGCCCAAGAGAACATAGGAGGCCGGATTCCTGGGATCTGACCTTTCAGCCACTCACAGTATTCCTGGTTTGTTATTAGCAACCCTCTTCTTGACCCCTTTACTGTAGACATAGCTTCGTAGTTCTTACAAATATTTACTCAAGTCCCTGGGATATCTTTTTACACAAACCAGCTCTCTCTGCTTCTAAGCTCGTTCACCTGGGGGAACATAGCGTCTCACTTGGTTTTACATGCGCCTCTATGTAGGTGACTCCTAGATCTGACCCTGATGTCACCTTTTCTACACTTCAGTCATTTTTCTGCCTGCAGGACATCTCCACTTAGATAAACTCGCCACCTTTTCTTCCAACGATGTCTGGGTCACCATGACCTTTTTCTTTAGCTTGTAGCCCTGAAGCTCTCTCCTACCATCACGGAGGCCTGCCACTCTGGTTCTTATTCTCTAGACCCTGGTACAGGCACTAGTCTTCTCATGCATAACCCGCTCCAAGGACCCATGTTCTCTGCCCTGCTGTATACACAGTTCAGATAGCTCTCTTAACCTAAGCCTCTTATTCCCACTATTCTCAGAAGCAGCACATATGTCCACATATGTCTCATTTACACCTAATCTTTGTTTTCAAGACATTCTTCTTCCTCCCACTCCTCTTCACCTGACTCCCATGGTAAAAGGTTTGGCCCTTGGAGCCAGCTAGGACACTTGCTTTTTGTCCTCTCTACGCAGCAGCCCTGGTCTGGCTATCATTCTCATCTCTGGAATGTTTTTGTCAAACCATATACCAACTCCCATTCTTCAAAACCACTTCTCAACTAAATATTCTTTGGCTAATTACCCTCTAGTTTACCTATGACAGTAGCTCCCCAAGTTCCCTGTATGTTTACAATGTGTGTGCGCTTTTATGTTGTGTTTATGTTGTGTCCCTATTAAGTTTCAAATCAGCCAACTAAAAATTACTTTGTACTGACTGAGAAACCCAGTTCTTGTCCCTCACTCAAGGAGTTCAATACAGCACTCTGCATTGGAGGGGTCAGGGAGGATGTTTGAAACTGCCATGCATCCTCTTTACTATTTCCCTCTTGTAGAAAGAAAAGGAGAATTTATAATGCTGATATTCCTTCCTACGAACTATGAGTTAAGAGGAAAAGAAATCAGAAGAAAGATGGGAAACTCAATTATAATGAGGCATGAAAAAGCATGTGTGAATACCTGCCACTAAGTAGCTGTGCAATTTTGGATAAGTCACCCTTAAACAGCCTTAGTTTCCTCATCAGAAAAATAGAAATGCCATCCATCCCACATGGGCCTCATAAGTGTTAAATGAAATCTATGTGATACTGTTTGTTCACTGTTTAATGTTATTTAAATATAAGGTATTTTATTACTTTAATACTCCCCTTCAAACACAGTATACAAAAGTGCTCTTTTCAATGAAGATAGAATCTCATTGGATGGGACTTGGAATATAAGCAGAGGTAACGATGATGCATGCCCGGGATCGAACACGGTACTGTCAAAGCTGGGAAGGCCCATTGCTCTCCTTCAGCTATTCTAACTAGGGCAGTCAGATGCCCACAGCAATGACCCAGTGCATGTTTCTGGTCTGCACCAAAGCTTTGATGCAAGCCGAATAACGGGGAAATGCTAATAAGGCTGAGTGTGGCTTGGAGACCAGCAAAGCTCTTAGCTCCAGCTTACAAGCCTCCATACTCTGGCAAGACTTCTGTAGCCCAGAAGCCACATACAATATACCCGTGGTTTTTTGCACTTCCAGAAGCAGCACTGCAAGTCTCCCTACCACAGCCTCGCCACGCCCAAGAAATGGCTCCACAGGACTTTCCTCTTCTTTTTCCCTCAAGGCCCTTCTGCTTCTGGTGTACATTCTGACCCAGAATCTCACCTTAGCAGGCAGGATCTCATCAGGCCAAACTTTGGGCACTGAGGCAAAGCTAAGCAATTGTGATCACTGCTGGAAGGGGCTACACTGCTGCTTTGTGAGCCTACAACAGGATCTGTCTGCAGTCCACTTTTCTTTGGAAACGTTAGAATGCTTCTGATAACTTTCTGAATAGGCTCTGAAGCCAGGAATAATTTCAGCTCATAGGACTTGGATAGGATTCTTCATCACTTCACAGTGCTGCAATTGGGATCGTGAGGCATTTCCTTATACTGCCTCCAAGGCAGCTTGACACTGTCCTTGAAGTGGAGGCTCCATGTCTGTATGTCCTTGCTTCAGCCAGCGTGTCATCCTTACACACTCCCCTGCCTCCCAACAGGTGAAGCACAGCCCCCGGGACACCGCCTCTGCCACACAATACCGCTTGGAGCTCATGCCGCAGGGAACACCAAGGTCACAGGAGAGGCTGCAGATTCTGCTATAAACTAATTTTATTGATTCACTTCCTTGGTCCCAGTCCAAGTGTATATCTTCAAGCTCTCACTTCCCCCAACAATGCCCCAAACAGCTAAACACCTGTTGCAGGGGCTCCCAGACTAGCTTACCTCTCACGGGGCCCAGCACCCGGTGGCTGACCTTTTGGGTGCTAGAGCCCAGGCCCGGCAGTCCTGCAGACCGACTGCCATGGAAAGGAAAGCTGGGGGAGCTCTTCATCTGTGGAGAGTTTTGTTGGCTGGTGAGGCCGCCGCCAGTACTTGTGCCAGTGCTAAAACTTCGCACACGGCTCAAGGTATTTTCAGAGCAGGAAACAGGCAATCCGCTGCAAAGAAGCAGATGCCAGTCAACCGTGATTCAGGGAGGTTGTGTCCCCAAGTCTTTCCCCAAGGTCGATGGCTCATTAAAACTTCACCTCTGGGGTGAAAACGCGTAGGGACTCATTCACAGGGAAAGGGAGGAATTCTTTGGCTGACTGGGGCATCTAAGAATGCCTAGTGCCCTTGTTCACACACATGCTCCTGCAGAAAATACATCAGGAGCCGGAAGGGCCATTCCTGGGCATCTTAAACCGGTGTGAATTCCTCATTGCCTTGGTGCTGGCCTTTGGACCCCTCAACCAGTTACAACACTAGAAGCTGAGCCCTGCTCCCACCCCAATTATATTTGACTTTGTGCAGGGCTCTGATTCCCAATACCTAGGAAGCATGTAGCTCCCGGTAAAAAGGAAGAGGATCCATTCTCGAAAAATGAGCTGATGTTACTCATTTTAATTATCCCTGAAAATATTTACCGTGTGGTCCTTTTAGAAGTAGGAAAGGAACACAGACCCCTGGGAATTCCTCACTCGAGAACCCTACTTCACTCTCATACTCTCTCCCTTCCACCCTGCTGGTCTTACTTGTTAGTTTTGGGTAGAGTTCGAGAGCCTCTCTTCTTGATGACACCCAAGTTCACAGAGCTGCTCGGACCTCGAATGCTACGCACGTGTTTTAGCATCCAGGCCCGGAGGTTTGTGAGGCTGCTGTGTTCGGACATCACGATCCGGGGCCATGGATTGCATTCGGCCATGTCCAGAGCTGCGATGGCCATAGCTCGTCCTACCTGTGGGGGAGTCGTTTGGCTCAGTGTCTTGGTCTTCCAGCCAAGGCTACTGTGTTGGGGTGGGGTGCACAGCACAGAGGAAGGGGAGGCCAGACCTCAGATTTGTTCAATGGGGGCTCCAATCTTTGTGCCCAGGCTGTTTATTGAGAGTGCACTTAGAGCTGCTCCCTAAGCTGCTGTTCATTTGGGGCCCTCATCCATCACGAGCTGGGGCAGGTGTGCTTTCTGGCAGGCACCAGGAAGGGTTTCTCCCAGCAGAAGGTGCTTGGATCTCTTCCATAACCAACAGCCCTTCTACTCCTCTTGTGCCCTAGGACACCAGGGATCATCAAGATCACAGCAGCACGGGCTTTTAGCCCAGGGGTGAAATAACCCGATATAAGGAGGACAAGCTCAGAGGCAAAGAATCTGACTTAGATGTACGACGGGAGTCAGAAAAAGAGCCCATCCGTCCTCTCAACACCATAACAGTCAGAGACCTGCTCCTGCTAACTGGGGAAAAGAGCCTCTCCTCAGAGGAGCTTAGAGTCAGGCAGCAGGAGAGAAGGCCTTCCCAGACTTTGAGGTTCTCCTGTCCCCCACTTATCGCTGTGTTCATACCTGCTCAAACAGCTCCACAGTGTATCTGGAGGGGAAAGCCGGCGGGGGTGGGGGGCTGGCACGCCCGTTGTCATGGCAGGCGGCAGGGATGCTGTTTACGGAGCGTCCGGTGTTGTAGTTGCATTCAAGTGTGTAGCTAAGACACAGAGACCTTCATCAATGTCCTGCCTGGACAGAATCAGGACAGAACTATGGGGGAAAGCCTAGTAGTCTGAGAAGGTAATCACTTGGGGGGGGGAAATGGCCACAAATAGAAAGACCTAATTCCTAGACACAAGCAACAGACCTCCGCACTGTATCGCATACACAAGAAGTCCCAAAAAGGTAGACTCCCAGATTAAAGCCAATAATGCTAATTGTGAACTTGCCTTTTCAAAAGACTTGGGCCGCCCCCTGCCCTGCAAACCCCCTGAGTATTGCTTTTTTTAAAGAAGTTACTTCATCTACCGTATCCCAGTTTCCACCCAACCTGTGGATGATCCCTGAGGCTTTGTAGATTGCAACCCGGCCGCTTCCCTCCTTAGACTGGCCATCTCTGCGGTCTCGGGCATACATGTTCTTCTCTGAGAAATTGCAGCCCTGGAAGTCGAAGTGGGCTGAGTTCAAGGAGATGAGCTTTGGATAAAGCATATTTTCTACCTGTTTGGGGAGGAAAAAGGCAACTCAGAGACAGAAGGAAAGCTTGAGGGCAAGGAAGACATGGCAAGCATGGGGCCATGTGACTAAAATACCTGCACAACCATCAGACAGCGTTTCTTGAATTCTCACGAAACATTTGACATTATTTCCAGCTGTTGGAAAGGTGCAGTTCTACCTTTTTAAGCTCTTAGATTCTGCTCTTCAATAATGCAAAATTTTCCTTTCCCCCTGGTTTACCCAACTCTAGTAAAGAATATGATGCCAACAGTTTGACCCTCTTTTAGGGGCATGATGTAACAGGCCCCAGTGTCATCCCTTCTTGGCCTTTTGAAGCTGTAGTCCACCCTCAGAAGTAGTCCACTTTGTGTGTGTGTGTTTAATATATTTTTATTGATTTCAGAGAGGGAGAGGGAAGGAGAGAAAAACATCAATGATGAGAATCATTGATCGGCTGCCACCTGCACATCCCTTAATGGGGATCGAGCGGGCAACCTGGGCATGTGCCCTGACTGGAATCCAACCCAGGACCCTTCAGTCTGCAGGCCGAAGCTCTATCCACTGAGCCAAACCGGCTAGGGTGGTAGTCCACCTATTGCAGCCACAGGCTTTCCTGACCTGACAGAAGGTCACCTTACATAACCTGCAACACCTCCCACACTCACATGACATTGGGTGGACTCTTACCTGGGTGGTCTCGTCACTAAAGCTGTTTCCGTACATGAAGCAGCCCCTTTTGGAAGCATGTCCGTGTAGGTCCACATAGTAAGCCACACCACTCTCTTTGGGGGGGATGGTGTCGGGGGCTGGCTCCTCAGCCTCCGTGGACGGTGGGGGCATAATCCACACACTGCTGGCCTTCTGTTCTGCAAGCTCAGTCTGTATCCAGGGCTCAGGGTTATCCCCAGCACATGAGCGCCCAAGGTGAGGTTCCATTTGGAGATTGTTGGCTTTCTCAAGGTCAGAAAGCGGGGCATCAGGACGGAGACAAGGATTGTGCTGTTGTGCAGAGGGATTCTGGGAGTTCAGACGGGAGTGCACATGGTGGTAGAGAAGCACAGCTTTGGCCCCGTAGATGGCCGGGTGCAGGACTGCATCAGGCTTCAGGTACTGACGGTTCAGGTTCACTCCACGCGAGTCTGTGCTGTAGGAAAACAAGGGCTGAGGCAGGTCCAGAGGGTGGACCAGCAAGGCAGACACTAGAGTAGATGAAAAGAGACTATGGGAGAATGACTTGTAGAAGGAGAGGCTGAAGTTGCATCAGGAAAGAAAGAACTGAGGATAGGGGCTCTCCTCAATCTGCTGTCACTCCTGCAGACACCTAGGATAGCTCCCAGGTGGACCTGCAGCTATTCTAGCTCTGCTCCTTCCAGAGTGCTAGGAGATGGGATCCCATTCCTTCTCAGGCCCCTGGACGATTAGATGGGCTTACCCGTATTCGGGTGCAAGAGGGTGGGGAATATAGGAAGAGGTAGACGAGAGGCTGATAGTGTTTCACTGAGTTGCAGGGCATGAGGGTGATGGAACAACCCAGAGAGGTCAGGGAGGCTTCTTACCGGTAGTGGCCCCGGACCACACCATCGGGGTTCAACATGGGAATCAGCTTAAAGACAAAGAGGCGACGTAGGGTTTGGGCCCGGGGATCATCAGGTCGAAGGATGAAGTCCAAAAAGCCATTGAAGACAAAGCTAGATGGCGTCTCTCCAGGGTGTACCCTACTGCTCAAGAAGAATATCTGATACGGAGGAGAGAGCAGCCGTTAGGTCAGTTACCTTATAGTTCGACTGGAGCAGTACTTAGGGGGGGCTGTGGGGAAGGGGATGAGGCAGGAAAGGAGAGCCACTGGATTTCCAGCTGCCGTGTCTATAGTGGAGTGGGAGCTGTCGCTCTTGCCTCCGAATGCAGGCTGAGCCTGTGGTGAAGATGCCCAGTGATGACGTGACTGGGGCTCTCAACAGTGCCTGCACTAGGCATGGTCAGGGTCTTGCCTTTATACTGTTCCCACTCACCCTCTTGCCTGTGAAACGGAATGGTCGGGGGGTGCTGATATCAGGAAATAGCTGCTCTAGACGGGGCTCTCGTTCTTCTTCAAGCCCATGGCAGGAGCTGATCGTTAGCAGATCTACACGAAGTCCATCCAGGGAATAGCAAAGGATCTCCCGGTGGTAATAGATGGTATCCAGAGAGCTGTAGGGATACAAACCGTTAAGCCATTAGAAGTCCGTAAAGTCCTAGCAAGAGGTGGGCCTTGTCAGGAGCCCAGGATCTGTAGGATCTGGTACTTCACCCTGCCTTGGGGACCTTACAGCCCTCCTAGTGTTTTAGGGGGCTGAGGATTTGGGCGGGTCTGCCAGAATGCAGAGTACGGGATAGGATGAACTTGTTTTCCCCCAGTTTATGGCTCCCTAGGATAGATTATTTAGCATTGACAAAGAGCTGCCCTCAGTTGGGACAGAAAAAAAAAAAGGTGTGCTGACTAAATCCTGGATAACTGATGGGAGCTGGGGTATTAAGGGCTTGAACTGCACTAGGGGGTGAGTGAGTGTAGGTGGAGGTATGCTGAGATCAAGGTTACACAGTAATATATTTGTCAAAGGTACCCCAAATCCCACATTCTGTACTGAGAAAAGAACTGATGAAGTTTTGGTTCAGGGTCTTAGGGCAAGTCCCAGAGGGAGCAGAGGGGCTGTGTGGCCCAGGACTGTGTGGCAGGAGTAGGAATGGGGTTGGCACCTGTTTTGGGTAGAGTGGTTCTCCAGAAAGCGCTGGTCTAGCTGGGTTAGCAAATCCTGGCAGTCACTGTAGGAGAAGGGGTAGCAGAAGGCGAAGAAGGTGGTGGCCCCACGACCCTCCAGGAAACGGTGAACAAAGGATAACACAAACTGCGTTTCTGTCATCTGAGGAGCAGAGGAAGAGGAGGGGCAACATGCCATGGCTGTCAGAACGGAGACCCTCGTGGAGTCACCGGGGGCTGACCTCACCCCCTTATCACATTTACCAACTTCCCTCTCCTCACATTTACACCCCCCCCCCACACACACACACTTAGAAAGTCCCTCTGAGACTTTCCACATGGCAGGCAGCTTCGTTGGGGCTCCCTGAGGCAGGGGCTTCTCTGAGACTCCTGCTAGTGCTGCAGGGAAAGCAGGTACCAAGACCCAGTGTCCTGCCTGCCGAGTGCTCTGTGCGAAGGGTAGCTCCTGCTCCTTCCCCTCCTCTGCTCTCAGCACCCAGGTCTGTCTTTCCGCCCCGTGATGAACTTACCTCAAAGGTCGGCCGGTCTCGAATGCGTTCCCAGCGTGGCCGGCCTGGCAGTGTGCGCACAAAGGGGGCCATGCCCTGGGAATATAGCTTGCTTTGCTTGTTCATGTTCATAATATTGATCTTGATGAGTTTCCCTGGTGATCCTCCCCGGACACTGAAGTAAAACCATGACCTGAAGGCCAGAGTAGGAGAGGCTGGTCATTACATAGAGGGGGCTGGAGAGGGGAAGTAGTAAGGAGGAGAGAGGGAGGAGGGGTCGGGAGAGAAGGAAGGGTAGTCTGCTGGTATGAATTGCAAGTCAAAGGGTTGACGAAGCATGGGCTTGGGGACAAGGACCCCCCTCTCTTTTCTTTCTTCCACCCTCCATTCATTTCCTCTTACCTGTTCCCATTCTCATATTCTGTTTCAGCACAGTCTGGCCGGGTCCACACGTTGAACTCGTAGTCAGGGGAAGAGGCAGTGCTGCTGGTGGGGGGTAAGACGCCCCCTGCCACTCCCTCCAGGTCACTGGACACAGACTCCACTTTCTCCACATGGGCTAGGTTCCCGGAATCAAATCGAGAACTGAACAGCAGTCCCCCACAGCGCAGCTCCATGGCGGGGCTGGGGAAGCATCCTCCTGCTCCACTCTGGCCCTGAGAGCTGAAGAAAAAGGGGGGGTGGGTTAGGGAGAGCGAGGCAAAATGAATTTATTTTTTTATTTTTATTTTTTTGTGGGGGGTATCTGCAGATAAATGAGCATTACAAAGTAAGAGGCTTCCTCCCTTCAGAAAAGGCAAGAGTGACATTCCATCAAAGGCCAACAAAAAGCAGCCTTCTGGCCTCACACCAAGAATTATAACTGACCTAAAGGGACTCCATTTTACTGCATGTTGGCCATTCCAAAAGGAAATACTCAACCGCTTGCCTAGGTTGAGTAATACTAAGAAATACTAAACTCTTAAGCTTCTTCGCAGCCCGAAGATTAGAGAATATAATCAGAGAGGTGGCATTGCCCAAACCTAGCCGAGATACACCTGCGGCCACCCATGGCCATCCTGTAAGATGAGCCCAGATCGGCCCCCACTCGCCAGCCACGCAGGGTGGGAAGCACAAAGTTTCTAAGTTTCCGTGGGCAGCTTCCTGTCTCCACTCCCCTGTCCTCACAAGTACTGACCAGGCACCCTCCTGTTGCTCCACCGAGCCCTGCAAGGGTCGGGTCTTCCTTTCCGTCATTACCCTTTGCCTACCATGGAAGAAAACTGGGCAAGTGTGGCCTCTGCCAAGCCGAAGGGCACGGGGCAGAAGCCGCTCGCTCACCTAGAGGCTCAGCTCAGTTCCAACTAGGGCACGGATCTGTTTCCACCCTCAGCCCTGCAAGCCCGGGAGTCCCCAACAGGCTCCTCTGGTAGCTGAGGGTGAATAATGGGTGTTGTTAGTAGCCCTAAAAAAGGGGCCGGTAGACAGCCATTGGGGGGCGGGGGGTGGCTTCACCACCCTGGCCCCTGGAGGACCGGGACTGCCGTGGGCGGGGCGAGGCTGGTCGCAGGAAGGGGGCACCGCAGACTCCAGGGGAGGGAGCGCGGGGGCCGGGAAAGGAGGCGGAGGTGAGGCCGCCGGGTGGGGGTGGGGCCGGGAGCCCGGGCTGAGGGGCGGGGTGGGGTTCCAGAGGCGCTCGGGGCTGAGGGGGCTCGGGAGGGGGCGGCGCCGGGGCGGGCGGGGCCCGCACTCCGCGCACAGCCCTTCACCTCTCTCTGGGCCGGCGATCCCGCTCCCTTTCCCGCTAGCGAGGCGCCACCTCGGGCCCCGGCACCCAGGACCCAAACAAAACCGAGCGCTGTGGTGCCGGGACCCCGCTCTGCCAGGAAACAAGAAGTCTCTCGCCTATTGGCCGCGGGGACGGCTGGCGACCCGCCCAGTAAAGCCCGCTGCCATTGGCCGGTGCGCGGGGGGCCTCGGGCGCGCGGCCCCGGAGCCGGTGCCGTTTGGGGCTGAGCCCTCGCCGGGCGGAAGGTGCCGCGAGCGTTTTCTCGGAAGCTAGCCAACGGCCTGCCTGCCGGCAGGAGGGGACGAAGTAACCGAGTAGTAAACTGAAAAGACTTACGTTAAAAACAAAGGGGCAATGTCTGATGGTAATCGTCGCCGGCCGCGCTTCTCTTGGCTGTTGTTACAGACAGCCCTGAGCCGGCTCCCGCTCCCCGCTCGGGAAGGGCAAAAACGGAGTGGAGGATGCGGGCATCGATCCCGCTACCTCTCGCATGCTAAGCGAGCGCTCTACCATTTGAGCTAATCCCCCGACTGTGGCTTCCTCCCTTCCAGTTACCTTACAGGTTGTGACAAGATGTCTGCCGACCAATGAAAAACCAAAATTCAGGACATTTATTTTAGCACCCGAGTATAAGGGAACCATAGGCAAATTTTTAAAAGGTAGAAATAACTACACATAAGCAATAGTAAGAAGGTCTTAAAAAAATAGTAAGAAGGACTTAAATAAAACATCGAATATATCTGCATTTAACCCACAAAAGAGTACTTAGACTCTACGTAGCTTGACCAACTGCACACGTTTTACAGAACATCGGCAGTGCTCGGGAATTCAGTCTGCCTTCAAATAAAACTCCCCACGTACCCAAGTTTGGTGGAGGTTAAAAATGTTGTACGAAGTCCTTCGAGCCGGAATCGAACCAGCGACCTAAGGATTGCCACAGACTCATCCACTACAGTCCTCCGCTCTACCAACTGAGCTATCGAAGGCCCCGCTGCTCCAAGGGCCCGCAGATTGCTCTCTAATGCTTACGAGGCCTCGCTATGCCAGGACCTCAGAGCTTGCTAGAGGCCTGGACTCCACTTTCTATAGAAGCTCGCCCGGGCCGAGCCCCTCCAGACTACACAGAACAGAGAAAGGCAGAGACCAGTGAGAGCAACGGACCCACTTCCCAGCCCCGGATGGAGGAAACACGGGCAATGCACTTCCCTTCCGTTTTCCAGCTTTCTACCAAACAATGCGCCCCCTCCCGCCGCCCCTCCCGGTGGCTCCCATAGGACTGCAGACGCTTGGAGACCCCGCTCGCGACCCTGGCCAGCATGTTCCTCCGGCCAGCATGGCCCCGCGGGGCCAGCACCCTCGCACGCTCTACAATTGCGACGCGCACACCCCGTTCGCCCGGCCGACGGCTTGCTTTTTGCTATTTCTGCTCCACATTCCCCTTAGATTTATCCGGGGGACGCCAATAAAATCCTACTGCTCCCCTGGTGTGAAGTACATTCATTCCGACAACGAGCCAACGTTTTGTCGGCCATTCATCCCGACCAGGGCAAGAAATATACAAACCACAGAGCGGCTCGAGGTTTGCAGGGCGGCGCGGGATCAGCTGCCCCGAACCCCGCGAGGGGGGCTGGCGGGCGGGGCCGCGGAGGGGCTCCGGGCCCGGCCCCGCCCCCGGCCCCGCCCCTGCCGGTCTCACCTTCCTTTCTCTCCCGGGGCGGGCAAAGCCAGCCCACAATCCTGTGCCCACCGGGAGCTTCGGGGGTTTAAAAACAAGCCTCGAAACTAAAGCCCAACTCTCCCGCAAATCCTGGCTTCGTCGTGTGCTGGGGTGGGTGTGCGGGAAGACCTGACCCCCCATTTACAGCTCTGCCCGTGCAACCTGGTGACGACTGCAAGCCCCTTACCGCCCCGACGTTTTGTGGGGTCTCGTGAGCGGTGCTTCTAAATCCGAGGTCCGAGGTCGTTGCTTTGCGCCCACCCACAAAGCAGGATGTTGGCATCTTGATTTTCACTTTGCTCTGTTGCTGTGAATGGTAGGTACCATTGGTTTCCGAGCGTTAGCTTGGGTGTTTAGCACTCTCTTTGGGGGGTTGCTGCCTCCAAAGGGGGAGGGGAGAGGGTAGACTGGGAAGCAGACCTTTATTTTATTTGTGTGTGTGTGTGGGGGGGGGGGGTGGAGGAGAGGAGGGCCGAAACTCAGATAACACAATTAATTTTAAAGTATGAACAATTCAGTGGCATTTAATGTATTCACACTGTTGTGCAAAGTACCGCCTCTCTCTAGTTTCAAAACTTTTTGTTTAATCACCAGGCTTGGAAGAACAACTCCTACCCTTTTAAGCAATGACTCCCAAGCAAGCACCAACCCCTGGCAACCACTCACCAGCTGTCTGACTGTATGGATTGGCCCATTCTGGAGATTTCACGGGAAAGAAGTCACAAAACATGTGACCTTTTGTGTCTCATTTCTTTCACTTATAATGTTTTTGAGACTCACCCAAGTTGTAGCCTGTGTCAGTACTTGCTTTTTATGGTAATACCATTCCCTTGTATGGATATACCCCTTTATCCATTCAGCTGTCGTGTTTTTGCTGTTGTTTTTCATTCATCTGTTTTGATGGACATTTGGATTATTTCCACCTTTTGGCTTTTATGAATAATGGTTTTATAAACATTCGTGAAGAAATTTGTGTGAATATATGCTTTCATTTCTCTTGGTTATATACTCAGGAGTGGAATTCTGGGTTTTATGGTAACTATATGTTAACTCTTTGAAGAATTGTCAAACTGTTCCCATAGCGTCTCAATCACTTTACATTCCCACCAGCAATGTAGGAGGGTCTCATCCTTGTCAACACTTATTTTCCGAGGTTTTTATTATAGGCAATATTTCAATAAATTAAGCTCAATTAATTAAAAACATTTTCTCGTATCATTATAGATGTTTTGGAATTATTTAAAAAGCCATTTCCCAACCTTTGGTTTTACCACAATTAATATTCATCTTACTGTCAGACACAGTTTATATCCAAATTTTTATTAATACTGCTACAATAAATGTTCTGGAATATAAATCTTTGTCCATGCTTCCGCTTACTTTTTTTACTCTCCAGAATGTATATACTTCTTAATCTTTTATTATTTTTCATAGTTTGGAATCTCACATGATTTTGATAACTCTTTCAGAATTATGCAAAAAGCCAGAATATATTTTTAGGAGTGTAACTACTTGGTAAAATAGAATGAAAGTTTTACACTTTTTGATAAATACTACCAAATTACTTCCCAGAAACAGTATACCACTTTCTACCATAGCACTTACTGAATATGTTATCATTAACAATAATTCATCAATGTGATATACAAAAGTGTATCTCATTTTAAATTTGCACTTTTTAATCAATGAAATGACTTCTTTTAAGTCTATGGTTCATTTGCATTTTTTATTAATTATGTCTTTTGTCCATCTTTTTATTATTGTTTAGTGCTTTCTTGATTTGCAAGTGTTCTTTAACATTAGGATGTGTTTATGATATGCTCAATAAGGAAATGGAGGCCTTGATCAACACAGCAACTGGACCTCACAGACACAGGACATACCCCCAACAGCATTAGAACACGTTTTTCTCACGCACACACAGAACATTCTCCGGGATAGCTCACATTAGGCAATCTCAACAAACTTTAAAAAGATTGAAATAATTCAAAGTACGACTGAATTACAAACTTTGGATGACAGTGATGTATCATAGTAGGTTCACTGGCATTAACAGTGTTAGAGGCTGTGCAAGTGTACAGGCAAGGGCTGTGTATTTTTTGCTCAACTTTAATGTGAATGTAAAACTGCTCTAAAAAAGTCAATTAAAACTGTAATAACTGGTATGCTAACACAGTAAAAAAATTATACCAAGGCATATCCAAAAATGTGTCTGAATTCAATTATTTTATTCATAGGCAGAATATCCAATATTCAATAAATATTCACTCATACCCTGAACAATGGAAGCTTCCCTGTCCCCTCAAATTTCTTCTTCTACCTCAAGTGTGGGGCAATGAAAAATACTCAGTAAAATGGAAGGGCCAAGTCCTTTATCCCGCTCAAGTCCTTTTGGGAGCAGAACCATGAAGAAAATTTTAAAAAAGTTAGATCACTTAAGTGTTCACTTAAATTCGAACTCACGAGATAAGACAGCATTAAAATGCTGAGGTCATCCAACCACTGAAATCTCAGTGTAACTGACAACTAGGTCAGGGAAGGCACATCCCTCTCTGTGGGCGACTCCACCTCCAGGTGGTGGCATCTGAGAATGGGCCAGCAGGCGTGAGACCAGCGTTATCTGCCTGGCAAGATCATCTACCTATAGTAAATTGGGCAGGTCCATCAAGTTGGCCTGCTCTAAAGTGGTAGACTGGGTACAAATAACCAGAGGAATGTGGAAACATAGAAAGACGTGTTTCAAGCGAGTCTTGTGATGTAATTTGCAGGTCAACACAATTTATAATAACTGTAGTAAGAGATAACCATATTTAAGCTGCTCTTCAGCTCTATGGCACATTATCTATAGAACTCCAACTGTGTATGAAAAGTAGTTACAATGTCTAGATGTGGCCCCCTGAGGCTTCAGATTCTGTTCTAATAACACAAACAGTCCCTGCCCACCTGTCAGCACCATAGTGCTTGCTCCACTAGTCCGCACTGGTTCAACTCACTGACAGACTACCATAACTGCATTAGTCTCACCTAATGCAGTTTCAAAACAAGCTGTAGGGGAGGTGCACTGCCCACTCACAATTTTGGATTTGTTGACAGTTCTGCAAAATGAAACATCTTGCTATCTGGTTTAGCATTAATGGACAGCAGGTAAAACAGCTGGACTAATCCCTTGACACAGGAAGAATTTTGGGCAATTCCAATATTGGGTCAACCAACATCTATCAAAGCCAATTCAGGTATTAGTGTCCTTGTGAGAGGCTGTGGATACCTCAGTTGACCTAAGTTGAAGGGATATGTTGCACCCCAAGATCATGTCGGAAATGAAATGAACCTGGCATAGTACACACATTAGAAGGCGATGAAGCCCTTGGAAGTAGCTTCTTGGAGTTGCTGGATTGTAAGAACTCAGCCCAGCAGCCTTGGCTGGACTCGAGGTCATTGTAGGTTGGTGTCACCACTTTGTCCTTTGCTGTTGCCAATGCAGGATCAGACCAGCCCCTTCTACTTGCCAGGAATACAGGCCAGTTCCAAAGCCTCACTATTCCGAAGAATTGAACCCATTTGTTTGATTGGTGAGGAAGAATTGAGGAAATGGGACATATTTTGGGACCCGTAGGCAATCCAGTCCAGCAGTCCTTGACCATTGCTCTTTGCCAGGCAGGGTTCCCAATTTCTGTGAAAAAAATGGCCATGGCTAACTGCCACTAGGAGAGCTGGGTTCTGCCCAATGTGGGCTCTTTAACTCCCAAGAAGTAACATTCTAACAAGGAAACAAAAATGTGAGTGGGCACCTCTCCTACTGCGTGTTTTGAAACATCCAGGAAACTCGAGGTGAGAGCTAATGCAGTTATGGTAGTCTCAAGTCAAAAATTAAGAGACTTTGGTGATAAACCCTTGATCCTGCCTCATAAGAGTTCTAAATCGTTCACTTGCTGCCTTAAAAAACAAACCAATTAATAAATTAAGGTCCTGGCAAGGAAGAAGACACCTGATTGCTGGCCAAGAATTCCCCTAGGAGACTTCCCTGAGTTTCCAAGCATAAATCACTTAAGCTGTCAAAGCAAATCACAACTGGGACATGAATCACAGTGACAAGTGAGACTAGGGGAGCAAAAGATGTCCAGAACCTCAATAGGCCGAAATTTAGGATGGGTGTGGGCTTTCTTTAACCAGAAGTTCACTTTCCACCAGTAGCTACAACCCCTAGGCGGGCAGGGGCCAAGGGGAATATGCAGGTGCCTGTATTGTATCCTGTCCACAGCTATGGGAATTCCTATATGAGGCAGAGGAAAGCTAGAAATCAAATCTGTGACCTTTATTCCACCTGTAGGCATATCTAGGAGCCATCTACTGAATCTTGACCCAACAGGCTGCTGGAAGGTTCCCTGGGCCCAAGGCACACACAACTGGACTCTGCTCCCCAGACAGATGTAGGGGTAGGCGACAGTGAGAAGCTGAACTTGGAGGCAGAGGCCCTCCAGACCCCCAGCACTGAAGGGGGAGAGGGAGGAGAAAGGATCACGATGGCGGGGGAGTGAGGGGCCTGGAAGGACCTACACTGGGCATTTGAGGGGAGAGGTTCTCCATCCAGCCCTCATGTGCAGGGTGTGGGCAGAAGTGAAGCTGCAATTCCTCACTGGGGTGCCAGTCTCCTGGAGGCCTCTCTCCTTTTCCTGCTGTGGCTGAAGTATGGGAGCGAAATCATTCATCGAAGAATGCAGAGGCTACTCGCTGGAGACCCACCTTTGGGGATGAGGTGTTGGGGCTTCAGGAGTGAAATGAAGGCAGGAGACAAGAGAGGAGGCTGGAGAGGCTACCGCCCAAGGGCAGATGCTGGGAGCTATGTGCAACAGGGCCAGAGAAGTGCTCAGTGGGATTGTGGGTAGGACGCTGCAATACCCCTGGGCTCAGTCATCACCAAAAATTGGGGAAGTGACAACTGGCCACGTGCCTAGAAGAAGAACTCAGGCACCAAGTAAAAAAGACTCCATGCAGAACTGCCTCCCGCAGTCTCAGATGGCCCGTCTCAGACGGAGGCTAGTGGCCAAGGAGGCAGGGCCTATTGCTGGGATATCATAGCAAGTGCCCAGTCCAAGAAAGCCACTGTGGTGTCCTGTAGGCAGAGCCAGGTCCGGTGGGCAGCCTCGCTGAGCTGTGTCATCACGCAGTCCCAGGTCACCGGACCTCTGGGAGGAAAGCAGAACATCTGTGGGACTTGGGAAGTCGTGGTGTGCACTTGTGTTAAGCCACAAGGCTGCAACTCAGACCCACAACCACCTACCTCAGAGACCAAGGGGCAGGGCAGAGAGACTGAACAGAGAAACCTTGTCCCTGGAAAAAGGGCGTGGGGGCCACTGGGGCTCCTGTTGGAGCCCTGACTGAGCGTCTCACCTGCACACCTGGTGGCAGTGCTGCTGGGCCTGGGCCAGGGCCTCAAGAAGCAGGTGCCACAATGGCAACAACACGCTGTGGTGCAGCAGCAGGAGCAGCTCGCTCAGAGAATGGAGCAGCTGGTTCAGGACATCAGGGAGCTGGATCTGGAGCACGGAGAATGAATGGGGTTAGGATGCCCCCGAATGCATCCTGGCCCTGAGGACCCAGTCCATGTGGGGCTGTACCTTCCTAAGAACTCAGCTGCTGGGGCGACCAGCCCGTTTCTGGCTTACCCTCTGGGAGAGGCTGGCGAGGCTGTCACCCAGACAGACAAGGTGGGAGGCACCGTGGGTGGAAAGGAAGCTGACTGTGGCATTGATGTGGGTCCAGGCGAGCTGCAGGCTGGGCCTCACCACAGTCAGCAGGTGAGAGCCCCAGGCCGGCAGAGTCTCCTCCAGCCAGCTGCAGGGGACAGGAGAGAGGAGGGCTGAGTTTCCTCAGGCAGCTCGGCTCCCCAGAGTTGGGGAAGGGAGGCCTTGGAAAAGGAAAACCACACTTATTCCCACTGACTGTCAATGCCATCGCCACCCTGAACACCCATCCATCTCTGCCCCCTCCCTGCGAGGTGCTCACCTGTAGCCTTGCCAGCTGTAGGAGTAGATCTTGGCACATGCTTGTTGGCCAGCAGGCAAGAAGCCCGATGATTGAAGCAACCGGCCAGAAAGGGAGTCTGAGTGAAGGGGGTCTCCGGTGAGCTGGGAGGTGGGGGGGTGGGGGGGGCAGGGAATGGGCAGACAGACACTACAGCCCTCCCAGCAGGCCCAGTGAGAGATGGGGTTGACCTTCGTGTGTTCACAGGGCTTCTTTCTGCTGACCAGCTGTGATCTCATACTAACTGATAAATCTTTCTGAGCCTCAATTTACTAAAAAATCATAAAGGAGGTATCACCTACTTAAAGAAGACCATGAACACGCAAGCACTTCTACTCTGCAAAGCACTGGCCCCCAATCTGAAGTGGTAATGTCACAGTTGTGGACACAAAAATCTGTCTAAAAAGTGTTTTGCAGCATCAGGGCAGAGCTGTGTGCTGGGGACAGGGGTGCTATAGCTAGCTCTATGACCCACCCCCATGCGACCTGCCTTGCCCGCCAATCCCTGCTTACCCTGGAAAGAGCTGTGTGACCGGAAGTCGTGGCACAGGAGACCTATGGCAAAGATCAGCACCAACAGGAGCAGCCGTGTCCAGGGCAGCCGGAAACCCCGAGCCTGCTGCAACAGACCCTAGGAGGAAAGGGGGTAGGAGCCGTGGTCAGAAGGGAGAGGGGCCAGCCCTCACATATCCGAGGCAGTGGGGGCTCCCGGGATAGGTGGGGCAGGAATGTGATACAGGCCCAACCAGGGTGTGCCAAGACAGGGATGCAGAACAGTGTGTGGGTTGGGGAGGGCTGGTGCTGGCACCTTGCAGGCTGTGTCACAGGCGATGACATCCTGGTTATTACAGCTGCCTTTCCTCAGCAGCTCCTGGTTGGTAAGCTTGAAGGATTCAATGGTTTCTTGCAAAGACTTCTGTGCCTAGAAGGTGAGAGACATCTGGGTTGAGAGCATAAGCTGTGGCCCGTGAGGGAACCCTCCACCATGCTCCATTTTCCAGGCCAAATGTACTGGCAGAGCGCCTTCTCAGGGAAGGGGGACAGTGCTGGGGTACGAACCCAGAACCCAGACGAGGCTCAGCCTGCCATGTCCTTCCAGCTCCTCACCTTCTTGGGAATCCGCTCCCAGGACCTGAGCAAATGCTCCAGCAGCAGGCTGTGGGGAAAACACAACCCTTCCAATCAGGGGGTCACTTGGCCCTTCCCCTCCTCCATTAGGCCCCTGGCTGCCTCTGGCTGAAGACTGCACCCCTCCCCCTGTCTCCCGCACAGGGACTGCTTCCTAAGGGCCATATGCAACTTGGAGGCATGAGCCCCGAAACAGTAACAAGTGTTCCCCTTCTGCTTCTAGGACAGGGACAAGCTGGGAGGCACAAACTAAGGCTCTTCTGTGTGGATGGGAGGTAGGTGACAGCCCCCTCCCCCACCTGCCTGGATTGTGACAGGTGCTTGGGGTATAGCTGCCTCCAGACGCTGGCACTGAGGGGGTCCACCGTCAGGCATTCGGTCAGGCTGCTCAGGAGCTGCACAGGAGACAGGAGAGAGGAGAGCCGCTGGGGCATGGGGCTGGTGGAGAGGAGAGAGCTAAGAAGCAATCCCCTTCTCCGAAGTGAGACCATGCAGGCAACACATCCACCCTGTTGCTGGGGCAGACTAATCGTGCCAGACCCAGAAATCTCAGAGGCTGTAAAGGGGGAGACTGGGGTCCTGAGCTAGACCTTGACCTCAAAGATCACTCATCTGTGAGGGGGAAGACATCAGAGACCAGCCAGACCTGAATGTGCTGTCCTTCCAGCTCGGATCTTCTGAGGGCAGAGCATGACAGAGTGGGGCAGGAGGCTGTCGGGAGTGAGCTAAGGGACGTCCAGGAAACGGGTCCGTGAGACAGGGCCTTGGTGTGCAGACAGGGACCCCTGCAGCTGACCCCTGGAAGGGAAAAAGGAGCCTCCCACCATTTCCTCACCTCTTTCCTCATCTTAGGAGGGCAGTCAGGGTTGGCTCTGGACAGGAAGGAGGGGAAGTAGGTATGCAGGGTGGATTCCGGCTTTGCCCCAAATGCCAGCACCTTCAATCGGGGGTAGAGCTGACACAGCTGCTCCTGCAGGCTGGGGTGGGGGTGGGAAGGAGAGCCAGGCACAGCTATAAAGGGAGCTCTGCATTGTGTCCCTTTTGCCTGCCTCAGAGCCCACACCCTGCCCGAAGATGGGAGTCTAAGAACCTTGTAATGGCTCTGAATCTTTTTTAGATTTAGAGACTCCTTGGAAAATGTGCTGCAAGTCACAGATCCCCTCCCGAGGAAAATACCCCCATGCCAATCACACTCAAGAGTCCATAAAATTTCAGGGCGTTTACTGATCCCTTGAACTTGCAGGTTGAGAATCTTAGATTTAGGGTGGCTGAAGAAGGGACCTCCTGCTGGGATCCTTCACAGCAGGTATGTCCCAGGGTGGCCCTACCTGGGTGTCAGGGAGTTGTTGGGCATATAGGCAAAGTCCAAAAGTGGGAAGAGGTCCTTGGGGCCAATCATGCCAAAGCCCTTGGTAAGGTTGGGGTGCATCCTGTGGAGGAAAGAAAGGCTTGTTGGGGACCACCAATGAGGCCGTCATCCCAGCTAAGACCAACACCTGGGGAAAAGGGCATAGACTCTACCCCACACCTCACCCCTCAATGGTTCCTTCCCCTTCCTTCTTCACCATCACATTCTGAGCTGGGAGGAGCTGGTCCTGGTCTCTATGGAGACCAGATCCCAGCATCTCATTTTACTAAAATAGCTACTTGGAGACTCCTGGGCCCTTCCCTTCCCATCTCGCCTTTACTCACCGGAGCAGCCTGTCCAGGTATGCAATGGCGAAGGGGGACAAGGACTTAATGCCCAGCACAGGCAGCATGATCCCCAGCCACACTGCAGAGACAAAGGTCAGGGAGGAAGCCTCAGGGAGGACATTACAGAGAAATTTCCTGGCTCCAAGCCCAGCCCCTCCTGCCCACTGCCTTGTTACCTTTCAGCCCCTCGGTGAGGTTGGCAAAACCTGCTTGACCCAGGGCCCACATGATGGTCAGACACTTTGCTGGTCGATTCTGGTGGGACCTCAGCAGTTCCAGGAACTAGTAAGAGAGGAGCCAAGTGAGAGAGGCAGACTGGGATAAGGCAAAGCATCAGAAGCACCCCCAAAATGAGGCAGGAACAGCTGTCACCTGGGACAGTGGAGCACCATGGTAGTGTGGTGTAGTGACTCAGAGCGTGGGCTCTGGCACCAGACTGTGGCCTTCACCCATATTTGCCACTTACTAGTTGACTGACTCTAGGAATGTTACTGAACCCCTTTGTGGCTCAACCTTCTCATCTATAAAATGAGAATAACCGCAGTCCTTGACACGTGTGTGTGTGTGTGTGTGTGTGTGTATAAATATATAAAAAGCAGACACACAATAAGTGCCAATAGTGTTACTATCATGATTTGTCTCACAGTGTCTTCTGCTAGTCCTTGACTGGATCCAACAGGGTAGATTCTTCCCGACCGCCCCAGTCCTAGCCTCCTGGTATTCCTACCATCATCCTGAGCTCACCTTGCCCAGGTTCATGGTGGCAATCTTGGGCTTGTCTTGCAGAATGGCCTGGATACAGATACGGTAGCCATGGAGAGACTCCCCTGGAGAGACACATGCTCTTAGATCCACACATAGGAACACACATCTAAAACCCGAAATCTCCCAATTGGCAGCTGTAAGCGCAGAACTCGGGCCAACAACTCCTAACTTCCCCCCCCCCCCTTTTCAAAAGTGTCAGAATTAGCATGTTTAGAGAACAACCAGGCCACTTTTGAAGCAAGAAAAAAGGAAACAGGCCCCCAGGCTGGGGCTGGCTCCCCGTCACGGCCCTCACCTGGCGTCTTGTCCAGCTCTTGCAGCATGGTGAACAGACAGTGGTCAAAAAAGAGCTCCAGGGACCCCGCCTTCGCCAGCAGCCCTCGGATGATCCCACGCAGCTCACGGCTCACCAGGCTGTAGGGGTAATCTGGGCAATAGGCCTCCACATGAGTGCCGGGACCCGAAGCCTCTGCCAGCTGAGCACACAGGTGTGCTCCGAGACTGGTCCACACGGAGGCTGGCACCCTCCCTTCCCCCATAAGGCCCAGAAACATTCACATCATGATGGTTTGAGAACAGCTCCACCCATGTAGATCAGGGCAGCGGGGAGCACTGGGGTTGTTACTAAGTAATGTGCTTATGCACAGCCATGTCAGAACTTTCTTGAACTTGTCTGAGCTTGAGGGAGTTGCGAGAACCCACCGTGAGTATGCTGGCTTAGTGTGGGCTCACTCAGGGGGGCTTGGAGCTTGTAGTTGAGATAGCTGGCCAGGTCCTTCAACCACACGGATGGGTTCCCAGAGAACACGCTCTGGCTCTTGTCCAGTTCCTTCTGCAGGGCTGCCACGTCCAGCTGCCAGGGACACAGGCCCCACAGGGTCAGTTGCGGGAGGAGGAGCAAAAGGTTTCTGCTTTTGGACGTAAGGATGTGGAGTGCCGCAAGTCTGCTGACTCCAGATCTTTGGAACGTTTGGGACAACTGGCGTTTCTGACCCCCAGGACCAGCATTCTTAGGACTTTCATGCGTCCAAGGGGAAACACAGAAGGCAAGGCGCTCCCAAGGGCGAGGAAACAAGTGGTTTCTCTCACCTCTCCCTCCCCCTCTGGGCTTCAAGGCTCTCTTCTCACTAACCCATGTTTCCCCTGAGCTTCTCATGTCCTTTTATCCTGAGAGCAAACATTCTACTCCTTGGGGTTCCATCCTTCCCCGAATGCCTCCAACAGTGTCCCATCAGCTACCAGCTGCCCGTCCTCCGCCCCTTTTCGTCTTCTCCACACTCAGGTCCTCGCTTCCTCCCCCCCAACCCCTACCCCCACCTAAGGGCAAGGCGCACTCACAGCTTTCAGGGCCTCCTCCAGGCTGCGGAAGCGGCCCTGCTTCTGGCTTTGGTTGCTGAGGGTCGCCACCTTCTTCATCTGCTTCTTGTTGGAGGGTTTCTTAGGCTCCGCGGCGGGGGGCGGAACCTGCTCCTTATTCTGCTTCTTCTTGATTTTCTCAAAGCCCCGCTCATAAAGGGTGGTTGTCGTCTGGATGGGAGCTGAAGTGGCGATAGGCAGTGAAAGAGGCAGTCAGGAGGATCTCCCGGGAACAGGGGTCCCTTCTCCCACCTGGCACCTAATTCACCTCCAAAGCCCCTCCCTGCTGTCTGTCCTGCGGAGGGAGCAGGCCAGCGAGCCTGAGCCCACTGGCTGCCCACAGCGCGTTTGCCACTAAATCGGAGGATGCGGGAACTAGTGGAGGGGTGCGGGGCAGAGGGCTGGCTTCTTTGGTGAGAGACGAGGGGTCTGGGAGGGCAGGATTTTTCCATCTTGGTTCTACCCCAGCTCCGCTAGGTTCAGATGTGACAACTCCCTAATCAACAAGTGGCAGGCGTGCTCCACGCCTCTGGGAGGTTTGCGGGAACAGGCGCCACAGAGAGTTAAGGCTCGGCGGCGGGTGTCTAGCGCGCGGTGGGCATTGCTCCCGCGGCGGGGCCTCCTGTCCGCCCTCCCCTCACCCCACCTGCTGGCTCCTTCGGGGGTCAGGGGGGGCACCTTACATAATGAGCAAGCATGCCTCTCCCCAGCTCTCGGACACTTGCCCAGAGAGGCCGGCCAGGCTAGGGCCCGGCAACAGCTGGTCGGGTGGGTGCGGTGAGCCTGGCGTCCAGACCAGAATCCTCGTCCCCTCTGACAGGTGGCTCTGGGCCAGCCATCTCACTCCACAGGGCCTCAGTTTACCCCGCTGCGAAGCCAGGACGGCCACCTCCCTCACGCCGTCTGCCATGTGTGAGACTCAAGAGACCAGGCAAGGGTAGCGCCCGCCGAACCGGAGGCGCGCCCGGAGGAGCCCGGGGAGGTCCGCGGCTCGGCAGCCCGGGAGGGGCAAGCTCGGTCCGGGCGGCGGCTGCGGGCCGGGTGGGTACTCACGGGTCAGGTCGTATTTCCACACTCCGTTCGCCTCCCCGAGGGTCCGGCGGTCCGCTCCGCCGCCTCGCCCGCCGCCGGTGGCCCCCGGCCGCCGCCCCTTCTTCACCACCTCCCAGCGCCCCGCACCCGCACCCGCCGTGATCGCCGCCATGGCTCCCACCCTCCCGCCGCGCCGGCCACCTCCCCGGGCTTTCCGGTGGGTGTGCACACGCCGCGCTCTGCCACGTCTCTTGGCAGAGCCTGGCGGCGCGTGACGCCGCCCCAAGGCAGCCTGGGAGTTGTAGTCTTTCGGTTTCGCCAGGTTATTGCTGGCGAGGGTGGTGTGAGGGTGGTGCAAGGGGTTGGGGAGAGGGAGGGTGTACGTCTGGCCTCCTTCGCAGCAACAAACTTCCAAAGATGTCGAGACGGAGGTTACTATTACGTTTAGCGAACTGTCCTGGAGCGCCTACTGTGTGACTTGCTAATTTAGCTGATGCGTTTTTTCTTTCCCGTCGTGCCAGAAGGATGGCATGGAAATGATTCTCTCCACCTCCAGGAGAGTTTGCAGATGAAACGCTTCCTTCGCTCTAGGAAAGTGTGTGTGTTCTGTTGCTGGTGATTAAGCTTTGAGTTCAATGGACTGTAAAAACCTATTGTGCGGGAACTGGGAAGAGGATGGAGCTTTGAGGGAAGAGGCACTTTTTTTGGAGGGGGGAGAGTGGAGAGTTCTTTTGACAGGAGGCAGAGAAAAGTCTGGGGCTCCGGAACAGCCAGGGCTGGGTTTCCTCTTGCAGACTATGGAAAAGAAGCGCTCTGGCTCTGGCTGCAGTCAGTCCCAAGTCCCAGATGTGGCAGAGAAGTGATCAAAAACCATAGACCTGATGAACCACTCCAACAGGCTATGGCTCAGACATTCACTGTTCCTGGAGGGCCTCCTACCTTGCTTGTAATTTAATGTGAGACCACAAAGCTTGAAGCTTCCCAGCACGGGAGGGCGAGGGAAGGCAAAATGAAAGTAATTTATCACAATTAAGGAAATGTTCTATTTTGTATACGTTCCTATATTTGAGGATGAGATTCATACCTGGATGACCCAGGATTCTCTCCTGGTTTTCAGGTCAACTAATTAGCAACTTAATTCTATCTACAACCTTAATTCCCCTTTGCTGTGCAGCCTAACACATTGGCAGGTTCTGGGAATTATGTGGACATCTTTGGGAGGAGGCATTATTCTGCCTACCACACCTACTTTATCATCAGGGTGAGGTCTAGGCCTGAAGATGAACATTGAACAACGCAGAACAACTACTGTATCCTTTTGTAGTATCTACTTGGGATACTATTAATATAAAGGAGGAAAAGCCTTTTAAAATGAGGCAAGGGATTAAAAAATCACAAAGATCAATAAAAGCAGCCCAGACTCAATGGCTCAGTGGTTGAGTGTTGACCTATGAACCAGGAGGTCAGGCCGTTCCCAGTCAGGGCACATGCCTGGGTTGTGGGCTTGATCCCCAGTGTGGGGCATGCAGGACACAGCCAATCAAGGTTCTTTCTCATCATTGATGTTTCCCTCTCTCTCTCCCTCTCCCTTCCTCTCTGAAATCAATAAAAATATATTTTTTAAAAAAAAGATAAATAAAAACAGGCAAATGAACTTGTTAGAGGAGAAAAAGAAATAAAGCCAGCAGTGTCTGTATGTGGGGTGGGAGTCAAAAGGAAGAGGAGGAGGAGGCCCTAATTGGTTTGGCTCTGTGGATAGAGTTTTGGCCTGCAGACTCAAGGGTCTCAGGTTTGATTCCTGTCAAGGACATATACCTTGGTTTCAGGCACATACCCAGTGGGGAGTATGCAGGAGGCATCTGATTGATGTTTCTAACTTTCTGTCCCTCTCCCTTCCTCTCTGTTAAAAATAAGAAAAAATATTTAAAAAAATAAGTAAATAAAAGGAGGAGGAGAAGTGCATGTGGAATGAGCAGGCAAGAGTTGCTTATCTTAGGCTTCTATCTGGAGCAATTAGAGAAATGGGGTCCTCTGGAAGAAGGGTCATGGAGCTGGGCACAGAAGAAACAGCCCCAGCTGTATCTCAGTCACTCTCAGGAAGGTGAAGAAACAGTTCCTGGGACTAGCCTGAACCTAGAGGAACATTCTGGGGCAATACCTCCATGGTCTTTGGGGATGAGTACTCAACCATGAATCTGGAGGTGTGAATTCTAGTCCAGGTTTTTACCTCCTTGAATAAGTCATGTCCCATGTGGGCTTTGGTCCCTTCCTCAGTAAATGAAGGCGCTGCTCTCCATGACGGCAAGGCTTCATTTGAATGGGCCTGGTTGCGCTTGTTGGACTTGCAGGACATTGGTTGGTGTGGCCCTTTGCTGGCACACACACCAGGCAGGCAGGGCTGTGTGGATGGTGTGAAAGCTTCTTGACTATGGTTCCCATGAGACCTTGTTCTACAGAAGGAACCACATGGGCACTGCTGTCCTCTGGACTTCAGTGCTCAGAGTTGCTTACTCTTTGTAACCCACTCAGCTTTCTGTCAGATGAGCCCTTGTTCCCAGCTGGGTCACTGTTCTGAGGTGTGTGAGCCTTGACAAAGGGTGGGGGACAACATGGAGTCTAACTGGCCGGTTGGCCAGCCACCCTGTTACCCCCATCCCCTCCCCGCCCCATCCTCACCAGCAGGGCTCCAAACCTTGTTCCTCCTCAGGGATTGGGGTAGGCTTCTATGTCTTAGAGCCCCGGCATCAGTGTGGGGAGACGGGGGCTGGGTCAAAGCTGGGCGCTGAGGCCAAGTGCCGGCGGTGGTGTGCAGACGTGAGGGAAGGCCACTGAGGTGCTGTGTGTGCTCAGGCCGTGGCTCTAGGAGGGGAGCCAAGCTTTGAGACCCAGGCTGTAGCTCAGTTGAGGGAGACACGGCATGGACTTTTACCACACAAGTTTATTTAAATAAAAGTGAACACATACACAGGCTGGGTGGCCCAGGGAGGCAGGGGTGGGGGAGGTGGGTAGATGGGAGGCAGACGTACAGGAGGGTCAGGGCAGAGTCTGTGTGGTATGAACAGGCTGTGGAGGGAGTGGCTGGGGGCCTCGGGGCAGTGTTGGGCTTTGGGGCCGGGGGAAGGGGCCCAGGGTGGGTGAGCCTGGTGCCAGGAGGTCATTTTCATCCCTCACATGCTCCCCTCCCTCTCCTGAGGCCTAAGGCACCCCTCCTCATTCCCCCTCTCCCTCTCCTGACATCAGCCTTCCCCTCAACTACTGGGGAGTTAAAAGACAAAATAAATAAGAAGTGTGAGGAGTCCTGCCATGGCCCAGCAATGGGGAAGGGGAGCCAAGCCAGGCACAGTGCCCTGGAGCCCGTGCTGTGAGCCCTGGGGAAGGAACAGGTAAAGTGCAAGGAAAATCCAGTAAGTAAAAATATACCAATGACTTTGTCAAATATACAGCTGCTGGCTGTCAGGGGAGCAGGCGGCTGGCGGGGGCGGGTAGCGCAGCACCCTAGGGTGTGTTGGCCGAAACAGCAGAGACAACGGAAATAAATAGGGGTGGGAAGTGGGCAAGGGTCCCACCCACCGGCCAGTGCAGGGCCTCTGCCTGCCCATCTGCCCCATCCCCTCCAGCCCCTCGCCTGACTCCCCAATGCTGCGGCACTGACACCAAGCACCCGCCGATGTTCTAAGGAAGGATTATAATGTGGGGTGGGCGTGGGTGGGGGCGTGCAGTCAGCCAGGGCTGGAGCCGCCCTCAGTACTCGTCCTGGTCTTCTTGTTGGTGTTCCTCAATCTCGTCGTCCTCAGGAGGTGCAAAGCCTTCCTGGAGTGGGGAGGGAGAGGGCAGGGTGAGCAGGGCAGGAGGGCGCAAGTGTGGGTTGTATAGGTAGCTTGGGAGCAAGGGTTCGAGTCCTCCTTTCCCTGCTAACGCTCTGTGATTGGGGGCTTGTGACTGCAGCTCGCTGTCCTCGCCGTCCAAGTTCTCTCCAAGGTTCCTTCGGGTCCTGTCTCCTCCCGTCTTAGGGCAGGCGGGATGGGGGAGGGCCCGGTGGGCCTGGGACATTCGCGGGCGAAGGCAGAGCTCACCTCGGTGGCATAGAGAATGCCGATGATGCCCGAGATGACAGGGCTGTTCTCGCTTTCGTGTTCCTGGCAGATGAGCTCGATGTCTCGGAGTTTGCTGAAGTAGAAGTCACGCTCCTTCTCCAGCCCGTCCACTGTCAGCTTCAAATCCAACAGCTGTGCGGGCGAAGGTGGTGTTCCAGCCAGAGGTCCCGCCTCAGGCTCCCCGTCCCACCCGGACACCCGTGGGCCTGGCTGTTGAGGCAGCTACCCCTGCCCACCCCACTCACCTGCTGGTTGAGTTCAAGGATTTGGGCATCAGTCTCATGGCCACCGTTTCGGGCCGACGGGGGGTTCTTCCGGAGGATGCAGGGTGGGGCCACGTTGCTCAGCCGGCCAGAGGTCTGCATGTTTTTGGGGCCTGTGGGGGACGTCCTCTGTGGAACTGCGCAGAGGAGGGAATTCGGAGGGGGCCATGTGAGCCCGTAGCTCAGGTGGCAGGAGCCGGCCTGGTGTGACGAGTGTGCAGCAGGCCCCTGCTAAAGGCAGGTACTCTGCCCTCCTCTCCTCTCCCCCTCGGGGCCTCTACATCTAGGCCTCAAGCCACGGCCACACGTGACACCACAGCAGCTGGACAGCCCTTTGCAAGCCTGGGAGAGCAGGGACCACAGGGAACTGAGGAAGGTGAGGCGTGGGGAGGGAGGGGAGCTGGCGGAGGGAGACATGAGGGAAACCGGGACAGGGAACTGGGGAAGTGGGGCTGGGAGGGTTGGTGCCTCTTGTGCTAACAGCTGAAGCCCGGAGGAAAGCAGCTGGGGCAGGTCTCGATCTAGTTCTCCTGGCAGCCCAAAGCCACTCTCCACATGGGGATTGGAGGAAAGAAAAGAAAGCTGCCCTGCCCTCCCGGCTGCCTGCCTCGGGACAAGCATGCTGTGGCTCTCGCCCTCTAGCTGGAGCAGCTCCCTAGGCAGAGCCACTGCTTCTAACGCAAAGCAAGCAGGCGAGTGGGCCAGGCCCAGGCGGGGCAGCAGCGCAAACAGGAGGGCTCTGCTATGACGGGTTCAGATGCGGGCTGGGGCCGCTCCTCTCCCTTTCTCTCCCTTCTCTCCCGTCCCCCAAAGACCCTCTGCTTCTTTCCCTTCTTCTCTAGAACCCAGACAAAGCCTTGTTTCCAGAGGCTGGTCTCCCAAGGACTTAGGACTATGGGCCTTTGGAATGGGGGAAGAAATGACCAAGCTTGGCCAAGTCCCATCCCTGGGCATCCAGTGGGCAGGGGGCAAGAAGGATGGGTAGTGCTGGCACCAGGCCCTTGGCCTGGATGGACATGGACTGAGGAACCATGCCACGTGCTACCCCATCATCTTGAGGCAAACCTGTTAGCTCAGCTACAGAAGGAAGGGCCCTGGGCCTCCCACCGCCAGCTGCCACCTCGGCTGGTGCCAGTGGCTCTCCTTTGGTGGCCATCCTTGGAGCCCTCTCCTCCCTGCTGTGACTCCCCCTGGTCTAAGTGGGCAGCAGGCGGCGTCATCTGAACTCCGTGATAACAGTCTCCTCTAGGCTGGCAGGGCCGGGCGGGTGGCCCAGGAGGCACCCCTGGCTGGCCCGGCCCCACACACTCCCTCCCCCAGCATGTTACCTGCTGTGCCAATGAGTTTCTTGGATTTGTTGAAGATCTGATCACCTGGGTTAGGAGGTGGTGCTACGTCCTGGCCCTGCCGCGCCAGCAGAGGGTTGTATTCCTTTCCATCATAGTTTGCGTCAAAGAATTTCTTAAACCACTGAATAAACTCAAAATTATCTTGGAATTTTCCTTTCACTAATTTCTCTACAGGAATTATCTGAAACAGACCACATAAGCAGAGAACTTTAGCCACCTGCATGGAGGGCTGCCTTCCTCTGTGAGGGCCATTGCTCTCAGGAGAGCCCGCCCCGGCTGCAGTGGCCTCCAGCTCCTCCACCTGCCCCTCCCATGGAGCCAGGACACAGGGTGGGCTGCAGGCCCGGCTGGCAGGCCCGGGATCCAGAGGCAGCCTTCCTCCAGGCACAGGAGAAACTGGGGGGGGGAGGGAGTGCCGCGGTGCTGCTGCCTCCATGTGGGGTGGGGGCTGCTGGAACCAGGGACCTGGGGCCATCGAGGCAGCAGATTGAGCAAGAGCCTTCTCTTGGGCCCTCGGAAAGGAATGGATAGGAGCACCTAGCCTCAATGGGTGGCTATGGTCCAGAGAGGAGGAAGGAACGGGAATGTCATTGGGATGGGATGTGAAGAATGTGGGGTTTTCCACTGAGCCTTGAGCTGGGGGGACATTCCCTCGGAGAGCAGAGGGGTGGAGAGAGGCGCAGATGGAATGGCCCTTGGCCCTGTGCGCGGGCCGTCTTCTTCCCCAAGGTCACACAGCTCCTCAGGGCCCCGGGAGCCCAGGCACCTACTTTGTCAACACCCATCTTCTTAAAAGCTGCTTGCAGCACCTTGAAGTTTTGGATGTACTCGTGCTCTAGCTTGGCCTGGAACTTCACCTTCCTCAAGTGCACGCAGCCCGGGAAGAGCATGTCCATGAACTGGCAGTAGGCTGCCCCTGAGGAGAAGCAGGGCTGACGGAGGGGTCCAGACCGCTCCCCTGCCGAGGCTGCTTGCTTTCCCTTCAGCCAGCCCCTCTGCTGGCCTGCTCCCCCAAACTACCCAGCTCCTCATTTCTCTCCTTGTTCTGGGGCGTGGCCAGTCCTAGTTGCAGGACAGACACTGCGTTCCAAGAATAAGAGCAATGACTACTTATTGATGCAATTGTGTGCCAGCACCATGGCAAACACTACATTATGTAATCTAACTTCACAGTGATCCTAGTGAGATAAGTGATGTTATCTCCATTTTACAGACGGGGAAAACTGAGGCCTAGAGAGGTATAGTGCCTTGCCCAGGGTTGCACTACAAAAAGAGCTGAGGCTGGACCTCAGAGTGGCTGGACCTCCTGCTGTTAGCCTCCGGTTTCACTGCCTGTTCCCACTGCCCACCTGTCCTGCAGCCCTTGACTGTGCCCCTCCTGCTCTTCCCCATCGGTGGAGGCCCTTCAGCTCCAAACACTGACTAGCCAGGGCTCTGCAGCTCTCCTCCTTAACCCTAATCACAAGCTACGGTTTCTGCTGTGTCTGTTTTGCCTCCCGCCTTCCCTCCAGCAGGGCCCACTTCCCCCGGCCCCAGCCTCGTACCTGAACAGAGCTGTTCTATCTTGGTATAGTTGAGGTGCAGGGAGTCATTGACCCACGCAAGCATATCATGGCGACTCAGATTCTCACTGGTCACGGATGTGGAGTACACATTGACGGCCATACCCCAGCTGCAAAGAAAGGAGAGAGGCAAGGTCGGCAACGGGGACTTGCTCTTTAGCTGTAAGGAGAGTGGGAGCGGGATGATCCCTGGGGAAGGGAGAGGTATCCCTCCAGACAGCCTTGCATTTTCCCTCCTGAAGAGGGGACCTCTTCATTCTTTAAACATGAAATGAGCATCTCCTATATGCTAGAGGCGTGCTGAGGACTGGTGCAGCAAAGTTAAGTAAGATATGGGCACTGCTTCCGGGAGTTCACAGACAGGAAATCCGCACACATTAGGGTACATACAAAGTTCAGGGATGGCACAAAGAGGGAGGGACCAGCAAAGGCTTCCAAGCTGAGATGTGGAGTGGGAAGGAGTAGGAATTTTCCAAACATACAGAGGGATGCGGAAGGGCACTGCATCCAAGGACCAGCAAGAGCAAAGGCATGGCTCACCCAGGGCTCCCAGCTGCTCAGGAGCTGGAGAGCGGGCTTGTGCTGAGCACGGCCCAGCGGGGCTGGCAGGGATCACGGAAGAGCTTTGTTTGCTAGAAGGAGGAGCCTGACCTTCCGGTTAGACAATGGGAAGGTGTTTAAGCAGACACTATCCTGGGCAGATCTGAGTTTTAGAAAGCCAGCTAAGCTTGCCTGACTTCAGAGCCCATATTCCTGTGGGGCCTGTGGCGTGTGGTCTGCTGGCTGACCCAGGGGCACCTATTCTGCTTGTCCAGAACCTTAAGACATGCTTCTGTCCCTAGCTGGTTTTGCTCAGTGGATAGAATGTCAGCCTATGGACTGAAGGGTCCCGGATTCAATTCCAGTCAAAGGCATATGCTCTGGTTGCAGGCTCAATCCTCAATAGGGGGAGTGCAGGAGGCAGCCAATCAATGATTCTCTCTCATCATTGATGTTTCTATCTCCCTCTCCCTTCCTTTCTGAAATCTATATATATATATATATTTTTTTTTTTTTAAGACATGCTTCTGCTCCTATATTCATGATCCCCATGAATGTCACCACCAGTTACCCAGTCACTGGGTTAGAAACCTGTGAGGTCATCCTTGATAGCCAGCTCCCCCTCATCCTTATATCTAATCAAGTCCTGAAACTCTGCCTTCCCAATGGCCCTGCCCTTCTCCATCTCTCCTGCCACCTGGAGTTTATGTGGAGATTCTCTGGCCAAGGCCAGCAGAAGTCTCCTGGTCTCCAGCCTCCGGTCTTCCCCGGGCCACCCTAACACTACTGCAGTCAGAACCTATCTAAGCGCAGCCATGGCCACATCACTCTCCAACTTAAAGCACTTGCAATCAGCAGTCACAGAGGAGACCCCCATTGGCCAAATTTGCCTTGTAGACTTGAACTCTAGCACTCACAGTGTTGGAAACATTTTTGAATTAGTGCCCAATATTTTAAAGTTTGGATGCATCATACAAACAATTTGGGACTTCTCGCCTCTTGAAGCGATCCTGGGCCTATGCTCCCTACACAGAACCTATATTGGAGCTGAGCAGAGCAGAGGCACCCGCTTGGCTTGGCCTGCACCCTCTCACAATCTAGGACCCCTAGGGGAATGTTGGAGAGCCAGTTTCAGCTCAGTCCCACAGGCCAGGACAAGGGACCCCACTGGTGCACGAATTCATGCACTGGGCCTCTAGTATAATATAATATACCGTGTAGAATATATAGTACATCATATATATTTATAAATAAATAAATACACACACACACATACATATATTACATACATATAATTTTAAAAAACACTGCAGGTGATACTGGTGCCCAAGCAGACTAGGGATTAGAACCACAGTCTTCACTCGATACTAGGATCAGCACCCTGTCTCCACTCAGGACTGCCTCAGGGTCTCCAAGTGATGCCACCCTTGCCCTGGCTCAGAAGAACTCCTCCAAGACACCAGGGGTCTCAGCAAGGATCTCTGTCACACTTGTTCACAGGTCACTAAGAAAGCAGTTCCCTTATCCATCACGTGACAGGGACGGCTGGATGCCCTCTTAATTTCCCTTTGTAAATCTTACAGATTTGGCCCTGTAAATACAACTAAATTATGGCCAGCAGGTGGCACCCAGGTCCTGAGCAAAGACTCCTTTAAATGTTTCCTCATCCCCAACCTCCCTCTCCCTAACTTCGTTTAGAAAAGGAGGGCCCTTAAATTTGATCTGGTTCCCCACGGAGGAGCCTGTCTGGGTCAAAAGCTGGCAGTGCCAGGGCAGAGGGTGAGTGGAGTGCTTATTCATGGCCAGCTCTACGAAGGGCTGGACCAACTGGAGTGGCTTAGGATTGGGTCTGCTCTAAGATTCGGGGCTAAACTAACCCAACCTCCCTGTTCCCCAAAGTCTCATGTTAAACTCATCCTCAGGTCCAACTTTCTTTAATTCGGGGCTGACTCAGGCCTACCCTCAAAACAGACCAGCTTCCGGGGGCAGAGGTATATAAAGCATTTGCTCAAGCATTTTGCCCTAAGCGGGCCAGTTGCCCCTGTTTAGAGTGGAGACGTTGTCTGAGAAAACTCTGAAGTTAACATGCTCCTTACCAAGGGCTGCTTCACTTTCCTTGTGATAACAGTGGGCAACTGCCCAGAGCGGACAGGCTCTGTTCCCAAGGGCTAATTAGTGGGGTCTTCCATCCCAGCCCCATGTTTCTACCACATTCTTTGGCACATCACGACCCACAGGTTGAGAACCACTAGTTGGGTCGCCTAAGACCGTTGGAAAACACAGATATTTACATTATGATTCATTAACAGTAGCAAAATTACAGTTATGAAGTAGCAACGAAGATAATTTTATGGTTGGGGGTCCACAACATGAAGAACTGTATGAAAGGGTCACGGCATCAGGAAGGTGGAGAACCGCTGCTTTAGGGCCTTGAAAACCCCATTCAAGATCAGACTGAGGATGTGACCTTGGGAAAAGCCTGCTCTGCAGGGTCCTGACTCCTGGTACCAGGTGTGCAGTCACGGGACAGGAAGGTCGAGGAGGTTTATCTGGTGATTTTGCTAAATCATTCCCTAAGTTAGGCTTACGGCGCATTGACTGACAGAAAGGCTGCTACAGCTCTCATCAGGAGGGGTGAACGGTCATTCTGCCTGAGGCCTTGCAAGTGGTCATCTTGACCAAATCTCAACATGCGATGGCCGGAAGAGTTTTGAGAGACCATCCAGTTCCTTCCCGGATACATAGGACTGCACTTAGATCCAGGTCTTTATTTCCCTAAAGCGTAACCAAGTCTGTATAACTCTGAAATTTCACATGTAATATTTAAGAACCTTGTCACCAGACCAAATCTAATTTTGGCTTTTTGTTTTTCAGTCTTCAGTGGAAATCTGTCTTCCACAAATATGGCTTGAAGATAATTCAGGGCTCCACAGTCTTCTTCAATTCTCTGGTCCCTAGAGGACCCCTCTGCAGTTCCGGGCCTCTACCCTCTGCCCAGCATGGCGATGAAAGACACACCAGTTCTTTTCCTTCTGCAGATGGTACTGGGCGTGCTGCCAGCAGGCTCTACAGGGTGCTGCTGAAAGTATACTGGGTCTCCAGTCAGACCACTTGAGTTTCAACCCTGGCTCTCCCCAATCCTAGCTGTTTGACATTGGGCCTCAGTTTCCTCATCTATAAAATGGGAACAGTAATAGTGCCCGCCTCGTTGAGCTGATATGAGGATTAACTGAGCCATATACAAAGCGCTGAGCAGAGCCTGGCACACAGTAGGTATGTGGTGTTACCTGCGGTGTGGGGGCAGGCAGCGAGGGATCAAGGCACTTGTTTGAGAAGCAGGTGCCAGCGCCCATCCGCTTCGGGTGTTTAAGACGCCAGTCCAGGAGGGGCCACACACTGTGCTTTTCTCTGCCCCTTCGGCCTGGAAAGAGCCACCTGGGCTTCCCGAAGGTTGGCCTGTGACCACGATACCGCCTCCCCCGACCCAACTCCAGATTTCTCTTAAATTCTACTGGTAGATGCCATCCTACCGGGCAGGAAAACTGGAACAGGTGCTGTGGGGTCAGAGGAGAGAGAACTCTGCGGAGCCTGCCAAACGTGTCCTGCTCCTGACATGGGGCTATGCCCATGGTCACTGGGTACCCCTCCGTCCAGGCCCAGGGGAGCTAGAGTCACCTGTTAGGAAAATCTGCAAAATTGCTCTCCCTGGCCCCCTTGGATCATACATCAAGTTATTCTGGGGTTACATGGAGGCAAAATGTGCGGGCAGGGATGAAAGGTGCTGAGGGACTGGGGGAGCCTGGCTAGCGGGTCACAAAGCCCTGGCAGACCCAGCCAATCACCTTCTTCTCATGGCTGAGCAAAGGCCTGCCTCACAGGGAGGCTGGGCCTCTCAGAGCTGAGTCAGTCAAAGGAAGAGACGGGGCCGGTGGAGTAGTCCGGGCTGGCAGGGAACCGGTCTGTGCCAACGCGGCACATCAGGACAGGGAGCTGGACGGTGCAGGCTTAGACGAGGACTGGAACTTCTCCAGGGTTCTGTTCTCAGAACACTTTCAGGTCACGGAGCTCTTCCTTAAGACCCTGAATCCCACTGAGGCCCCAGCCGCTGGAGTCCCGGACGTGCCCTGCTGAACGATGATCTGAACTAACGAGGCTTTCTCCAAGCTGGTTTGGATGTTGCTGCCAGAGCCCTTGTAGCTGCTGTCCAGGGAAGGAGTCCTGTGGGGAGTTCTGGTCAGACGGCTCTGTCTCCACACCTCACAGCGTTAACGGAAACCCAGGAGGGGAGTGAACAGAATTCATCACGTGCTAAAGTTAATCCATTTCGGTAGGGTCCATCCAGGTGGGCAGAGAGGCCGGGAAGCCTTTCTTCCTAAAGGTTCTCCGCTGGAGATCTTCCAGTTCCTCAAACATCGACTTCAGTCAACGGACTCCAGGATGGGAGCCGTCCATCTATCCAAGGCGACCAGCAGCAGCCTCCTGGAAGCCGTGCCCGTGGTGAGCGAGGTGTCATGGCAGAAGAGGGGGGTTGGCTGGCTCTGCCACTCATGGCCTGAGAGACTTTGAGCAA